GGTTAGAAGAATTGAGTTACGGTAATTTTTTTTGTTATGATTAAGTCAAGAGTAGTATATAAGAAAAAAAAGTAATACCAGAAGTTGCGTTAGTGCTAGAGGTCAGGGTAGCACTAGGGTCGTATCAAGTGTTACGGTAATAGTAGAGAGGATAGGGTAGGGTAGGGTAGGGTAGTGTAGGGTAGGGTAGGGTAGGGTAGGGTAGGGTAGGGTAGGGTAGGGTAGGGTAGGGTAGGGTAGGGTAGGGTAGGGTACTTTGGACTCTGATTAACTTCCTCAACTTTGAAAATTTTTTCATTTGAGTTCAAATAATCTGCGGCCGAGATTAATGAGTTCGCTATTTGAGCGTCACTTTTTGACTAATTGAGCGGAAAACGTTGAAACTCGAGAAAAACTTGACAAGATTTATTAAACAAAGCAAACAGTTTAACAAAAAGTGCTCGAATTATGCCTATTTCTTAACCTAAATTTAAAAAAAAATTAAAATTAAATTTTAGGCTTATCTTAAGCCTAAAGCCAAACATTATACAATTTTTTTACTTTTTGTCATTTCAAATGGAAGAACACAGAGAACATCAACATCTTCCGTAATAATATCCTTTTTAATGGCATGCGTGCAAAGCTAAATTAAGAAAGAACATTAGAGGACAATAACATGATAATAACAATGTTGCTAACGCTTTTTGAAGCTGATAGGTCAAAAAGTTAGAAATTTTTTTCATTTTTTTTGAATTTGTAAAGAAAGTTCTTGATATTTATTGCATTCTAAATCAAGTTTTTGGTTTTGTGAAAATATGAAAGTTGAGTGGAAGATTTGTTATGTATTTTGCACTGAAAATCTCCCACTCAACTTCCATTTTTAAAATGCCTTAAAAAGGTTTGAAAAATCTTTTTTGACAACTTTTAAAAGTGAAAGTTGAGTGGAAGAGTTGCAATGTACTTTGCACTGAAAATTTTCCACTAATCTTCCGCTTCTAAAAAGTGCTAAAAACGTGTTTTTAGGTCATTTTGAGACATTTTAAAAGTGGAAGTTGAGTGGAAGATTTTCAGTGCAAAGTACATTGCAACTCTTCCACCCAACTTCCAATTTTATAAAAAGTGTACAAAGTGCTTGAAAGCATAAAAATGGTAGATTTTAGGCTTAGAACCTTTTTTTGACTTTCACTTTTTTTTAAAGTGGCTTTTTTTTAACATATACGTTATGATGTTTGCCATTTTTTCATTTTTACAGTACAGTAAAGGGCCTTTATGTTTGAAATGTTGACACATTTCTGAGTACTTGAATACCGCAGGGATTTGAAGGTTTTTTCGGTCGAATTTTTTTTGTGACAGAAAAGTTGGTTTTGACAAGTGATTATGGCAGAATGAGGAAAGTTTTTAAGGCAGGGTTCATCTTTTATAGGCATCCAACCATGACATATTCTGATTTGTTTTTATCTTGCAATAACAATTGGGGAGGGGGGGATGTTGCATTAAATCGTCTGTCTGGTAGGGGGGCTAATCAAAGTTGAGTAAATTTACGATTTTTGTTTACTGAAGTCTTGTTTTAAGCCTAGGTTTATGTATACTTTAAGTCACAGGACTAAGCTATGTTGTGGCTTGGCTTTAGTCTTAAGCGTAGGCTTTGATATGGGATTCTGCCCTGGCTGCGCTCAGGCAGAAGTTTAAGTGTACGCTAAGACTAAGGCTCAGTCTCAAGTTGAAGCTCAAACTCAGGATTAGGCCTGGGTTGGGATTTAAGCCCAGCCTCAGACTCAGGATTAGGCTTACGCTCAGGCTCAGGCTCAGACTCAGAGTCAGAGTCAGACTCAGACTCAAGGTCAGGCTCAAGGTCAGGCTTAGGTCTAAACTCAAGCGCAGCTTCCAGCTTAGGCTTAGGCTCAGATTTAGGCTCAGGCTCAACCCAGGTTTAGCCACTGGCTCAGATTCAGGCTGAGGTTCAGGCTCAGGTGCCAGCTTAACTCCAAGGTCAGACTTAGGTTCCAGCTCTGGCGTAGGCTCAAACTTAAGCTTAGCAAGCTCAGGAGAAGGTTTTAGCTCTGGCGCTTGCTCTAGTTCTACCTCTAGCGTAAACCTTAACTACAGCCTAAGCTCTAGCTTAAGCATCTAACTCTAGTCTTTCAATTGTTAGACTAAATCCTTGGTCTTAAAAAGACTTGCAGCCTACAAGTCTACAGACAATAGTTATTGTTTATTCCGATTTTATATGTGTATCTACTTTAGGTATTAGTATTCGCCTTCAGCTGCCTAGACTTTTATTTATTTACCAACAGACGGCGCGTTTTTTAGGCAAATTGCGCTTCTTAATCAGTTTTAATCGAGATTACTTTAATTGTGGGAACACTATACGTTTTTTCTTTATTGTTTTTTCGATGCCAAAAGTTTTGGCGTGGATTCTGGGGATTCCATTTTCAATGGCAATGGCTTTTATTTTATTTGCTTTTGAGGGATGATTAGTATTAGTATGGAATAGATAAAGAGTTTTGGGGGGGTCTTCAATGATATAGAGGGCAATATGGCAAAGGATAAGGCTGAGTATATATAGAGTAAGTCAAGGCTAGGTTAGTAAAAGCAAGACAAAGACCAGGACCAGGACCAGGACCAGGACCAGGACCAGGACCAGGACCAGGAACAGGACCAGGAACAGGACCAGGACCAAGACCAGAACTAAAACCAGGACCAGGACCAGGAACAGGACTGGGCAAACCATAAGCGAAATCAAAAAGATTTCATGATTAAGCCGAAGGCTAAAGCTAGAACTGGCGATTGGGCTAGGGATAGCGCTCATGTTTTGACGGACCGGTCCAACGGAAATCGTTGTGAACCAGACCGGTCTCAAATTTTTAGGTGTTGGGCCGGACCTGAACCAAAAAAAATAGTCCGGACCGGTATAACAGTGGTTAACACTATGGTTATGGCTAGAGCTGGAATAGAAATCTATTTCTTGCTTTGTAAAGAAAGTTCTTGCTATTTTTTGTCTTGTAAAGAAAGTTCTTGCCATTTTTTGTTTTGTAAAGAAAGTTCTTGCCTTTTTTGTTTTGTAAAGAAAGTTTTTGCAATTTTTAAGTTTATAATCAAAGATATGGCAACACTTCTCATTCCAAAGCCATATGTTTACCCATTTAAGACTAAGGATTTAATCAAAGCGTGCCCGAGGCGGAACGAAAACAAAACTCAATCTGCTTAAAATAGTTTGAAACAGTTCGTAACTCGTTTAACTATGCACTAACACAGAAAAAACCAAACTTTTTTCGAGTTCATCTACCCCCAAAAAACGACTCTTCAAACTCATTAGGCGGTTCGAGGAGAAAGTGCTTCTTTAATGGGCCACAAAAACTTGTTAGGGAAGAGTTATAGTCACGTTTCAGCGTTCAATACATCCTTTAAGGAAGTAGGGGGGGGGGGGATGGTACTGTTCTGTTCCTTATGGATGTGGGCATCATACTGAGAAAACAAAAAAATAATAAGCGGAGGGGGAGAGGGGGGTTTTAAATTGAAAGACTAGAGGTCAAAAAAGGTAAGTAGAAGAAGTGAGATAAAGTTAATTGTAGTAAAAAGGGGTAGTTTTTCGGTAGGACTTGCTAAGGTGAGAGTACGGTACTATAATGTCATTATAAAATCAAATTGCTGAGGTAAGGCTAAAATAGAATAAGGCAGGTAAATAAAGGGTAGACAAGGTAGAGTAGAGTATGGGGAAGGTATATTTGAAGAAATAAGCCTAAGCCTAAGCTTAAGCCTAAGCCTAAATCTAAGCTTAAACCTAAGCCTAAGGCTAAGCCTAAGCTTAAGTTTAAGCCTAAGCCGAAGCCTAAACCTAAGCTTAAGCCTAAGCCGAAGCCTAAACCTAAGCTTAAGACTAAGCCTAAGCCTTAAGCCTAAGCCTAAGCCTAAGCCAAAACCTAAGCCTAAGCCTAAGCCTAAGCCTAAGCTTTAAGCCTAAGCCTAAGCCTAAATATAACAGAGAAGAAATTGTTTATTGCCTAAAAATCAAAGGTAACAATATGATTGACATGTTGTTTTTTAGGTATCAATTGTCTAAAAAGCCCTGGTTTTTAAAAAATTTTACGAAAATTTAAAAATTTTACAATTTTTTGACATTTTTTTACATTTTATTTTATATGTAAATTTCGAAGTTTAAAAACAATAAAGAAGTGAATGAGTACATGCCCAATGGTGTGACTTTTCGGGTTTTTCCCAAAGGCGTTCCCAGAGATCTTTGTGTTCTTTATTGTGTCAAAAATGGACAGGGATTTTTGAAAAGTCCAAACAACTCTCGGCCGCTTCCAAATTTATATAAATTCAAAATTGTTGGAAACTTTTACTGTGCTTTGTATAATAATATTGAGTTGAAGATGGCGTGTGTTAGCAAATAGGCTCGGGTTGACCAGGCAAGCGTAGGTCTAGGGTTAACGTTAAGACTAGGGCTCTGGGCTAGGGCTTTATTTTACGACTAGTACTGTAACGCGGTTTACTGGTACTATACTTTTTTATTTTTTACACTATACGATATATATTCTAAACATATTTTGGTACTATATAGTACAATCACTAAAGACATTTAGTATCATAAACGTTTTTTTTCTGGTTTTCTATGATTTTAAAATGCCATTTTCGGAGTTTAAAGCCATTTTAAAAAAATAAAAAAAGTGGAAGTTTGGTGGAAGATTTTTAATATATTTTGCACTGAAATTCTTCTATCCTATTTCCAATTCTAAAATCTGTTAAAAACGTGTTTTTAGGCAATTTTAAGACGTTTTCAAAGTGGAAGTTGAGTGGAAGATTTTCAGTGCAAATTACATTACGAATCTTTCATTTAGTTTCCACTTTTTTAAACGGTTAGTAAAGACTGTTATTGCCATTTTAAGTGGTTATAAGATTTTTTCTTCTACTTATGGCCACATTTTCTATTTAAAGTTTGTGATTTCGTATTGACTTACTGTATTTCTCGCTTATTGATTACTGTAACAAAACAGTTTTACAATTTAGTGTTACAACTAATAATGGTCGCCAATCGAAGGCATGTTCACTTTTTCAGTCATGAAACTAATAAGGTAACTAAAGGGTCTCGAAAAAGTTCTTGCCATTCCTCGTTTTGTAAAGAAAGTTCTTGCCATTTTTTGTTTTGTAAAGAAAGTTCTTACCATTTTTGTTTTGTAAAGAAAGTTCTTGCCATTTTTGTTTTGTAAAGAAAGTTCTTGCCATTTTTTATTTTGACATTCTATTTTGACCACTACATAGTATTATTTACTATAGTAAAAGTGACATTTCAGTCACATTTTACTGTTTTATCTTTTTCAAATCTTCTTTCTGTGCTGGACATACTAAAGTGTAAATAAAAGATACGACAATAGAAAGGAAGTACGTAGTTGTTTTGGAAATGTCTACAACTTATGTTTTGAACTGAGAAAAGTGAAAAATACCGAAAACCGGAGGCGAAAATGACTTTTTTAAAGTTACAGTGAGGCAAAGAGCGCGCAGGCTGCGCTTTGAGTTGCGCAGGCTGCGTTTTACACACTGCAGGCTGCGCTTCCATTTGCGCAGACTGCGCATTCAGAACGAGTCACGGCACGGTAGTGTAAGATAGGGTAGGGTAGGGCGGGTTAAATTAAAAAAGCATAGAGTGGAGCAATGTACGGTTGACCAAGATCGAGTTGAGCAAGATAAAGTAGACCATGGTACGGTAGGGTAAGGTAGGTGAAGACAGTGCAAAACAGGATAGAGTAAGTGAGATATGGTATGGTACAGGAGGGTAGGGTAGAGTTGGGTAAGGTAGGGTAGGGTAGGGTAGGGTAGCTCCTAAGTACAAAATTTTAAAAAATGTTAAAATTTAAATTTTTTTTTAAAATTTTTAAATTAAAAAAAAATTTTTTTTTGTTAAAACTTATAAAAAATGATAAAACTTACAATACTTGACCTTCTAAGACAGTATTTGTCAGTTTTACATACTTCCGCCTCCAGGGAGAAGCTCTTTTTGAAGGCGAAAAAGCTTTATCAAAGAATGTAACGACAAGGAAATGAAATGTCAAAACGACGCGTTTGATAAAGTAGAACAACGAAAAATACATGTGCTAGTTGAATATAAGACATAAGGCTTGAGTATGATGGCTTGGTTGTTGTTTTTTACTACAGTCAACAAAAGTTACAGCGCTTTTTTGGCGTTTTTTTTGAGTTTTTTGGCTATTATAAGGCTGTTGATAACGTAGGCCCTTGACTTTGCCACTGTTTATCTTGGATGATTTTTACCAAAATTAAACATGTGTTTATCGTAAGTTGTAACATCATTTTAAAAATGTCGTATCAAGGAATGAGGGGATTCTACAGTTTGGTTTCAAAGTTACTGCAAGTTTTCTAAATTTTTGGTTTTTTTGGTGAAGTAGTTGGGCATGATTAATATGTGATATCTTTAAAAGTAATAGGGTGTATTAAAAATGGCTTAACAGTATGTCGTGACATGGCTTTAGCTACAACGCGACCTATTTTTGTCAGATTTTGAAAAAAGTTTAAAAATTTATGGCAGCATTTTTAAAAATAGTCAACATTTTTAGATGTAGGTAATGTACTTTGATGCCCCATATCTAAAAACATAGCGTACAAACTGTAAAAAAAATTTAGTACCACTAGTACCATGGCATTACAAAAATTATACCAAAATTTCACAAAATTTGAAAAAATTTTAAAAAAGATACAGCAAATTTTTCAAAATTTTTTAGGTTTTTCAACTATATTGTTTTAGGTCAAGCCCTACATTCTGCACTTTATAATGGTGTTAGGTGTAACAGCATATGTCATTTTGGGCGCATATACGATACGACATATTGAAGCGACTAAAACTGGGTTTATCACTAAACACGACAGGATTATGGAGAATGTTGGTAGGAGGCATCATGAACAACAAGTTCAATATGAGAAACCGATTACTGAACGGGTCAAGAGAAAAACTAATTGTAAGTGATTTAGGGGCTGTTTTTAGTATTTTTAAAAGCTTGGGCATGGCAAAAAGAATTTTTTTGGGGGGGGGGGGGGGAAAAAAAAATTTTTTGGGTGGAGCGAAGTAAAAAACGTTTTTGGGTAGGGCGAGGTAAAAAAAAATTTTTTTGGGTGGGGCGGTGTAAAAAAATTTTTTTGAGTAGGACGAGATAAAAAAAATTTTTTTGGGTATGGCGTGGCAAAAAAACATTTTTGGGGGAGGGCAGAGTAAAAAAAATTTTTTTTTCAAAAATGAGTAAGAATGTCATTTCAGTGCACCGAGCCCGAAAATGTGTCCAGCTAGCGATGAGGCGGTTGGCTAGCGGAGAATGTGACCCAAATGGCCTAGTCGATCCAAATCATCCAGTATTTATTGAACTTGATGAATGTTACAAGCGAGATGTCACTGAGAAAGTGAAAAGAGCCATGATTGATGCGGAGGTCGAAAATGAAAATTTTAAATGTAACTTTTGGCATATTTTTTATATTTTTGGTCATTATGACATACTTTTTTTAATTTTTAAATTTTTTTTATTTTTAAAATTTTAGTGCAACAACAGCAACTTCGCAACACAACAACAACAGAATGGGAGTATTGGTCCTTAAAAGACTCAATTCTCTTTTGTTTTACAGTAATAACCACCATTGGGTATGGTAATGTGGCTCCACAGACCTTTAATGGCCAGTTGTTTGTTATCATTTATGGTTTGATTGGAGTGCCATTTGCTATGTTAGTTATTGCCAATTTGGGTAAATTCTTGGCCGAACTCTTGAAGTGTATCAACAAGAAAATGTACAAGTGCGCTAGGTAAGTAGCTTACTCTAACTTGTCCTACTCTACGTGGGGGGACCCTACCCTATCTTATCCTACCCTACCCTACCCTACCCTACCCTACCCTACCCTACCCTACCCTACCCTACCCTACCCTACCCTACCCTACCCTACCCTATCTTATCCTACCCTACCCTACCCCTACCCTACCCTACCCTACCCTACCCTACCCTACCCAATCCTACCCTACCCTACCCTACCCTACCCTACCCTACCCTACCCTACCCTACCCTACCCTACCCTACCCTACCCTACCCTACCCTGCCCTACCCTACCCTACCCTACCCTACCCTACCCTACCGTACCCTATCTTACCTTACCCTACCCTACCCTACCCTACCCTACCCTACCCTACCCTACTCTACCCTACTTTACCCTACCCTACCCTACCCCTACCCTACCCTACCCTACCCTACCCTACCCTACCCTACCCTACCCTACCCTACCCTACCCTACCCTACCCTACCCTACCCTACCCTACCCTACCCTATCCTACCCTACCCTACCCTACCCTACCCTACCCTACCCTACTCTACCTTACCCTACCCTACCCTACCCTACTCTACCCTACCCTACCCTACCCTACCCTACCTTACCCTACCCTACCCTACCCTACCCTACCCTACTCTACCCTACCCTACCCTACCCTACCCTACCCTACCCTACTCTACCCTACAGTACTGTGCCCTAACTTCTCTACTGTAACCGCAATCCCAATTTTACATCAATCCCTGTCGATACTGTAGCCTACTGTACCCTAACTTCTCTACAGTGTCCTACTGTTCTCTAACTTTTCTACTGTATTTTATCTTACCATACCTTACTCTACTGTATCCTACTGTACCCTAACTTCTCTACAGTAGCCTGCTGTACTCTAAGTTCTCTACTGTATCCTACTGCACCTAAACGTTCCTACTATAACCGCAACCTCAGTACCCCTTTCCTTTTTTGATACTGTATCTTACCCTACCCACCTTACTGTAATCTTATCCTTTAGTGCTGACTAAACTTCTTAAACTACTGTAAGCCCTACTTTTCTATGCTGTTACTATACTCTGGCCTACCTTTGCTTTGCTCTAGCTTCACCATTGCCTCATCCTTTTTCTGACCTACATCTTCTGGGCCTGCCCTACCTTAATTTTTATTTTTAATCACTTTTCTATCAATATGCCATTTTACTTAAAATTGTTACGGTATGTAACCTTACCCAATACCATTCTACTTTCAGCACATTTATCTGCTGCCGTGCCCAGTCCAAGCAAGCGTTATTGCCTAAAATCGATGAAAATGCTAATGAATTTTCGGAAATCCCAGAAGAGTCAGTCCAAAGTGGTGCCATTGGTCTACTAGTCGCATTCATCATCTACAACATCCTCGGCTCTATCATAATATCAACGTACGAGCCGGAGATGGACTTCTTCAAAGCCATCTACTTCAATTTTGTCACTCTCACCACCATCGGCCTCGGTGACATTATACCACAGTCGGGAGAGTACCTGGCCTTCACCTTGGTGTATGTCGCATTAGGTTTGGCACTAACGTCGATAGCCATTGAGATTGCGGCCGACTACCTCAAGAAGCTGCATTACTTCGGGCGAAAGATCGATAACGTCGCTCAGGTCACGATCTGGTTCGGGTCGCAGAAGTTGACCATGAAGCAGTTGGTCAGGAATCTGGGAGATCAGTTCAATTTACCGGTAAATGAGATGGATGAGCTGAATTTGGAAAAGTTTGTGGATGACGCGATCAAGGTGGAGACGGGCGAGATCGAGACTTTGAGGGTAGGTCACAGTAATAGGTAGTACTATATAGTACTATAGAGTACTGTGGTACTATATAGTACAATAACTTATTATACAGCTTTATATCGTACCATTTTACGTTAATCTACTATATATAGTACTATATAGTACCATACAGTTCATGGTACTATATAGTACTATGTAGAAGTAAAGATTATTTTAGTACTATATAGTATTAGTTTTATACTGTGCTGCTCGTTTTCTAATCAAAAAACAACTCTAAAAGCCAGTAAATCACCCTGTAGATTGATTAAAACCCCCAAAAATGAAATAAAAAAAAAGTGGAAGTTGAGTGGAAGATTTGTAATGTAATTTGCACTGAAAATCTTCCACGCAACTTCTACTTTCAAAATGACTTAAAATTGCTTAAAAACACGTTTTTGACACTTTTTGAAAGTGGAAGATAGGTGGAAGATTTTCAGTGCAATATACATTACAAATCTTCCACTTAACTTCCACCTTTAAAAAGTACTAAAAACGTGTTTTTAGGCCATTTCAAGACATTTTAAAAACGGAAGTTGAGTGGAAGATTTTCAGTGCAAAACACATTACAAATCTTCCACTCAACTTCCACTTTCTTAAACTACCAAAAAATGATTGAAAATAAGAATAAATGGCAAGAATTTTGTTTACAAAGCACTAAAAATGACTTTTTTTCAGAATCCAAATGCGATTCGGCCGATCTTCATCACAGACTTCAAGAATCCCTTCAAACAAGGCCGAGTACTGTACGTTGACGAAGACGACCGGTCGTCGTCCGGAGTCTACACAGATGACCGTCGTTCTTTGAGTCGGCAGCATTATGCGGATGAAGATGAATCTCAATATCATTATCAACCTTTAGTGTAATTTTAAACTTTTACTATGAGACTTTTTATGACATGTTTGTACATATTACAGTATGCAACGAATACAGTTATTTGTTATTCTTTTACATAGTATATTATGAGTTTTACTATTAATAAATTAAAGGTAAAATACGAGTGGAAATTTAAATAATATTTCAAACTTTAAAAAATTGAAAGGACTTTCTTTTACAAAACCTTAAGCCCAACCCTAGCCCAGCGCCTTACTTCAGACCCGTAGTCCAAAGCCCAAGCCCGAGAACCCTAGCCCAAAGCCCTAGTTCCAGAGTCCTAGCCCAGCCCTAGTCCTAACCGAGTGCTATCTTACCCTACCTTACCCTCTTCAACACTTCTGTTGCCCTACTTTCAATCTACCTTTAACCCTAGCTAGCTCCCCTTATTTGACTTTTTCCTTAACTTACCTTACTCTACCATTTTTTATTCTACCTATCTCATACCATACCCTACCCTACTTTACTAGATATTATTCCACCTTTCTCTTATTTTGCCGCCTTCTTATTATACTTCTGATCCATCGACCTTACGCTTTTACACCTGCCTTTAGCTTACTATTAATAAATGAAGTTGACGGGATTCGAACTCACCGCCTTCCGCACCTCAGACTAATTTATTAACCACTCGACCACACTGGATTGAAGCTTCAATCCATTCGTTTAGCTCAAGACAAATGTGAAGGGTCAAATAGAAAACCCTATGTAAATCCTTTAATTGCCTGTGTCTCGCTAGCCAAATCCATTTAGCAGTTTTTGAAAACAGTTGTCCAGGTAATTTTTTATGCTCTTTCTTCGTATATAGGTATCGTTTAAAAATCCGAGGGGTATTTAATGCAATTTCCTAGTTAGCCAATGTATTATCGACAGAACACCATCTATTATACGTAGTTACGTAATACGTACATGCCCACCCTACAACAACATTACTATTAGTCTAAACCAAGTGTTATATTTAGTAAGTACGTTGCACAACATACGGATATTGCAAAACTATAAAAACAATTACAATATTTGTACTAGTAGTCATTCTCTGTTTATTATGCAAATCTTTTTTTGTTTTCCGACCGTCTATATTGTATTGACATACACAAAGGAAGGAGAATATGGACCAGCCGGAATGATCGTTCCTTTCTTTTTCCCCTCAGGGCTTTTGTTGATATTTGAAATGAAATTATTCGATCTTGATTTTAGTTTTTTTTAACTATGAGGGTAAAATACAATTGTAAAACAATTATTTATATGATTTATAATTAAATTTGATTCTGTCATAATGACTTTTGAAATATTTCATCATGACATACTTTTTGGAAAATTTAGAATTTTTTTTTGTTTTAAAATGTTATTTCAGTAACATTAAGGTGTTTATGAAACAATTTTAAAACATTTTAAAACATGTCATCATGACACATTTTATAAAAACTTTAATTTTTCAATTTAAAAATTTGAAAAATAAAAAAAAATTAAAATTATTTATTTATAAAACATTCTTCAATAATTTTATGTATTTTTAAATATGTCAACATGACATGTAAAACATGTCATCATGACACATTTTTATTTCTATCGAAATAGCAAAATTTTAAAATAATTTAATTAAAATTTTTATTTTCATTCATACAATGCTCTTTTCCTTCATTATCTCAAATTCGTTTTTCCTTTTATTTCCCTCAAAGCCGGAGGCTATTTAGCAGTTCGTGTCCTTTCCGGATATCCACAATTCTTTGCTAATGGATATTTGAGGATATGACGTATGTTTTCTACATGTTATTTCCTTTTTTATGTGTAATCAGACTCTACCCTACCCTACCCTACCCTACCCTACCCTACCTTACCCTACCCTACCCTACCCTACCCTACCCTACCCTACCCTACCCTACCCTACCCTACCCTACCCTACCCTACCCTACCCTACCATACCCCACTCTACCCTACCCTACCCTACTCTACTCTATTCTACCTTACCCTACCCTACCCTACTGTACTTTAAATTGCCGTGCCTTACTCTCTAACCTACCGTAACCCTGTTAGAAGCGTAAAGCACGAATGCCCTAAACATGCCCTAGCTCTACTCTTTTTATACCCTCACCCTGTTCTTGTTCTGCCCTTGCTCTGACCATGCTTTAGCTATATTAACCATGCTCTAGCCTTTAGCCTACATTACACTATTCTCCCTAATACGACTTTGCTTTATTTTGCCTTACTCTACCCTACCCTACATTTTTCTACCCTACCTTATCCTAACTCTCCTTCTAAAAGTGTCGCACGCCTTTAATTAATTACTTACAATGTATTACCCACGTCTCTCACTCTCCCATACTCTCTCACCTTTCCCTTTTCCTCTAATCATGACGTTCATCTCTGCCGACTCTCTTAATTATGTATACTCTCTCGCTTTTATTTCAGTATGATGCCATGTTTTGTGCTTTCGGCCGAATAAGGAGAGGAGTGGGATTGGAAGGGGGGAATAAAGGGGGGAGGGGAATGGGGCCAGAAAAGAACGTGGAATTGGCTTCGGCGCCGCTTTTCCTCCATCCAAAAAGGGCTTTTCGAAGCCGGAACGTGAAAATTCTATTGATTTTTGATTTAGCTAGGGTATTTTGAAAGGTGTTTAAAATAAATTTTAGTTTTTATCATTTCATACAGACCTACTGAGTAAAAATAAGATGGAAAGAAAGTTTCTTCAACAAGTAAAAAAAATTTTTTTGGAAAGAAAGTTTTTTCACGTTAGTTTTAAACCATCTTTTGAAACTTTAAAACAACTTTTTCCTTTAAAAACGTGATTTTTGAGGTTTTTAAACCATTTTCAAGCTTTTGCAGAAGTGGAAGTTGAGTGGAAGATTTTTAATGTAATTTACACTGAAAATCTTCCACCCAACTTCCTTTTTTAAAAAGTGTCAAAAACGTGTTTTTAGGCCATTTTAAGACTTTTTGAAAGTGGAAGTTGAGTGGAAGGTTTTCAGTGCAAATTACATTACAAATCTTCCACTCAACTTTCAATTTTTAAAACTTCAGTTTTTGCCATTTTTGGCTTTAGGAAGCCATTTAATGCGTGTTTTTTATTCTATATGGTATTTGAAAAACTTTTTTAATGAAAAAATTATATTTTACAGAGTAAAAATGATGATACCATCGGACACGGCGACTGACGATCTCTTCAAAGAACTCGGGTTATCAGATTCGTCAGCCAATAACAAACAAACCACCTCTAACCCAAACTTTCTTAACAGTATCCTACAATCTGACGAGGATTCTGCTTGTGATGTCGATAGGTGGGCTTCTAGTTCCATTGAGGATTCATCGTCACAGGTCAAGTAGGTTTTATCGACTGGAAATAAAGTTTTTGCCATTTTTTGCTTTGAAAAGAAAGTTTTTGTCACTTAGTTTTATTTTTAATCGACTGCATCATTACATTCTATAAACAATGGCATTTATTTTTTATACTTGCAAAAACATGTTTGATCGTATAACACTGTCAGCGCAGGCTGCAAAAGCAATCACTTCCTTTTTCAGCGGCTCAGAAAAGGCGAAAGAACTGGAAGAGGAACATAATCGTTTATCAGAATCCGTATTAACATTAAGTACCCATTTTGCTCATATTCAATTCCGACTTCAGCAGATTAACGCTGCTCCAGCTGAAACTCGAGATGTAAGTGAAGGTGTTGGGGAAACGATAATATTTTAGGTAGTTTTGGATGATTTAGCGGGAGTTCATGGTGTTTTTAAATAAAATAGAAACTGTTCTATCTTCTGTATATTTTTTTTTATCGATTTAGAAGCCAAAAAATATATTTTAGACATCAAAGACGGTCTGATACCCAAAAATTTGATACCTACAACAATGTTGCTTTCATATCTCCCAGAATTTCCAACGTAAACCAATGTAATTTTAGGAAATGCTAAAAGAACTATTAGACTTTGCATCGCAAGGTTGCATAGACATCACAGACGTTCGACAGCAAGCTCGTGAGCTGAAGAAACTTCAAGAAACGGATGGAGAAACACCTCAAGTCAAGGAGAAGCGCGCTCACGTCCTGGATTTGATCCAGAAGCTTCGATCTCAAACTGAAGACTTGGAAAAGTTTGCATATGACTTTGGGCATGGTGGAATGCCAATGTCAGAACTGAAGGAGAGGCAGAAGCTGGTTTTCGACAAGTTACAGGAGAAAATTCGACTGAAAATCGAATTGGAGGGGAATGATCATGAAAATTTGAAGAAAACATTGGATGAAGGGTTAGAACAGGTAAAAGAATATTCTTTCTTCAATTTTCTTTGATTTTTAGGTAACAAAAGGAATGGCAAGCCTATTTTTGGGCTTGAAAAAGAATGGCATTTTTTCTTGCGGAAAATAATGAAGATGATGTGTCTTCGGTGATAAAACAAGCATTATTTTATCAGTAAATTTGATTTTCTAATATTAGAAAGTTTCCTCTATGTAAACTTGACACTTTTTTATCAAAAACGAAGCTGTGATAAGTTTTTTAGACGATTTTTGGATTTTGGGACCAAAATTGTTGTCTGTTGCGGAAAATTGCCATTTTTAATCGTATATCAAAAAGTGAACAAAAATTGTTTCACGTATCTTATAGAGCAGGTTCTTGCGCATCTTTTAATGTACAACGTGCTATGCTTTCCGTTCATTTACCTAAAGATATTACCCATTACAGGTCCTGAACCCAATAAAGGAAAAAGACAAATTGGTGGACCAACTCCAAACCCAGATCGTTGATCTCGAGAGATTTGTTCAGTTTTTGCAACAAGAGCCTCGTGACGACGAGATAAGTGACATTCGATCGTTCGAATCTGCATACAAACCCCCGCCACGCAAGTCCAGCATATTATCCATGTTGGGGATATCGAATCAAAGGCATTTTGAGAGGAATGAGTTGAAGAAACGACCGGCTGGCAATCATTATGGGTAAGATTTGAAGCACTTTTAAATTTGAAGAGGATTTTTGTGAAAAAAATTTTTTTGTGTTACCTAAATTTCTATTTTAAGGGACCAAAGGGCGCAGCTTGAACTCGCGGTGGACAAAACGTTAGAAGTGATGAAACAACGGCAACTACTTACTATAGATTATCCTGAACGTGAAGATATGACACTAGAGGAGCTTAACCAGGTATGGCTTTTGAAAAGTTTTGTCACATTTAGTATAAAGTGTCTCGTCCTCGTATAACTTGTCTCCTCATCGTATAACTTGTCACTTTCAGCAACTTTTCGAACTCAGCGATGAAGCAGTGGTATCAGTAGTCAGGAAACAATTAGCTACGTGCCTGAAGCTGCTTCTGGAGCACGGAATGAAGAAAACTGTAGAGGCAGCCAGCTCTTTCAATGCCTTAAGCTACCTCGGCTTTGGATGTATGTCACAGAGGGGAAAATTGAGAAGACGTAGGTTTTTAACCTTTTTTATCGTTTTTGAGCATAACATATGTTTGAAAATGGCATTCCTTAGCTTGTAGATTAGTTTTTTTCAATTTTATACCTATTTTAACCTTCAGAAAGCTCAATAACCGATGGAAAACAGCTGATTCATGTGTGGAATATCATTGAACTGTACTATGAAGTGAAAAAAGCTGAAGAAAGAGAAGACGCTGCTGTAGGGCATTTGACACAAACTTTCAATTTGGATTCTGTAGCCGGAAAACAGGCCACTTCACAACAGGTAAGATTTATCGATATTATAGTAGGCGGTTTTTGATCGTTTATCTGTTTTCTTGATATTTGATGAAGAAGCCGGCTTAAAATTGAATATATTAGCTTATTTTGTAACTTTTTGGACTTAATTTTTGGTTACTGGAAGTGGATTTTAATAATTTTAAAATTTTGTAAAATCCAATAATTTTTGTGACATTTCGTCGTAAACGGATTTTTTAATATTTATGTTTTTATAGGGTTCTAGTGCTTATCTGAAGTCTTAAAAATAATAAATTATTCATTTTTAAAAAATCAATATTTTTGTGGCAATTCATCAAAAAAAATCAATATTTTGCAATTTTGCCAAAAAACATTTTCTTAACGTGATTACATGATTTTAGAACCGTTTTAAAACCAAAAAACACTAGACTAACTGTTTTTAAAAAACCAATATTTTTGTGACGTTTCGCCAAAAAAAACAATAATTTTTGTGACATTCCGTCAAACTTCCCCAAATTGAACTTTGACACACTAAGGGCTTTTAAAAGCGCAAGGAAATCATTTGTACTATATCTTAGGGCCATTATTAATGAAAACTCAAATTTCAGGTACTACTAGCAACGATAGAGAACATAGCAACCTCCCACGACAAACTCAAACGTTCTCTCGATTCGAAATGGAAAGCCTTTGTATCGGCCGCTTTAAATTCGAAACGATTACCAGCCTGGATCCGGATCATATTCAGGTCAGACTTTGTTATCTACCGGTGCTACGAAACGTGGTCGTATGTTTGTCGGACGGGTTGTGAAGATATTCGACCGTTGTTGGAGAAACTACATGAATATAACTTTGATTTACCGGTCGATTTGGCCATAAGACCGTTTCAACAGAATCGAGATGCTTTTTAAGGGTTTTATTTGAAGTTGGGGCCTTTGGAGTGAAGGTTTGGTGGTTTGAACGGGGGGTGTTCGTATGGGGGTCTAACAAAACTTTTTTAAATTTTTTTGAAAAAATTTATTTGTAAACAAAAAAAAACTTTCTCCCCCCCCCCTCTCCTTGACTCTCACCTTCTCCCAACCCACCCTCAAATCAAAATTAATTTATTTTATTTTGCCATACTCAATCATATGTCTATGTTAATATAATATCAAGCTTAATAAGGCTTCTCTAATATTCTACAGGTGCCAAAAGGCAAAAAAATCTAAAGCTTATTACTATGCGACTATTCATAGCTCTAGTCATTTATATTTTACCAGTATTAGCTGAATATCACTTACAGTATTTTTCAAATTTCTGTTTTCGCGCCAAATTTTCAGGTTGGCGGGAAAATTGAAATTTAAATTTGGAAGGTTGAAGAATATAATATTAATCATAATATAGTGTTTTAAATAGTTTTATGTCTTCAAATTTGAATAAAAAGCCAAACTTTGATTTTGGCGGGAAAACAAAAATTCAAATTTTGAATTTTGTCTAATTTAAAGTTCAAATGAAAGGTCTTGTTAATATAATATTAAGTTAGTGCCTTATGTACAACGCTTTAGCGAATAAACGCATAATCATTTAAAAAATTTTTTTTTAAATTTTTAAATTTTTATTCATAAATAATATAATATACACAATAAATAGGTATTGCACATCAGATCTGTACTAAAACAATATAAATGAAAGGCGAAAAGACAAAGAAACTTGACACAACCAGTATTTTATGACAACTTTTTAAATAAATAGTAAAAATAGTACTGTGATGACTAGTACCAAGCTTTCAGTACTACTTAGTACTAAATAGTTTCAGCATTATATAGTAATAAAAAATTTAGCATCGTCTAATATTATAAAAGTTAATACTATTTAGCACAAAAAATTTTGTACTGTTTAGTATTAGAAAAGTTGGTACTATATAGTACTAAAAAATTTTATACTTAGTTAGTACGGAAAAGACATAGTATTGGAAGGCCATTCAGTACTAATTTGAGATTATCTACATTTTTAGTACGATACTGTAAGTATTAATATTAAGTCTGTACTTAATATTAATATTAAGTACAGTACAATATAGCACTGTATTTAGTATTCAGCAGTACCAAATAGTACTATACTTAATACCCAGCAATACAAGATAGTACTACACTTAATATCCAGGAGCAGTACGAGGTGGAGGACAATGATCACAACTGCCCGGAGGTCCTTGTTCTCCTTTAAGACCTTGTGCTCCTTCAGCACCGACATTTCCGGGTGGTCCAGGTACTCCAGGCTCTCCAGGTGGACCCTTAGGTCCGGGTTGCCCTGGAGCACCGGGTGTGCCAGGTGGTCCTTGTACTCCTTTTGGTCCGGGCACACCGGGAATACCAGCTTCACCAGGTGGTCCTTGTTGTTCGATAAGCTCGCCTGGCTTACCTGGCTCGCCAACACGACCAGGCAGTCCAGGAGTGCCGGGTGGTCCGGCTGGACCTGGTGGTCCAGGTAGGCCGGCCTCGCCAGGTTCTGAGTCACGACCTGGCTTACCGGGCCTTCCTGGAGCACCCTTCTCTCCTTCCGGTCCTCTTGGTCCAATTGGTCCTGGTGGGCATTCAAAGCAAAAGTCGTTTTCATAGGTCTGGTCATGCTCAGCATCCTGGCCTGGTGGTCCTTCTGGTCCAGCAACACCGTCTTGACCATCATCTCCGTCTGGACCGGGGATTCCAGGCTCTCCTGGCTCACCATAAGAACAGCCACAACATTGTGAGCTAGCTGGACTGGTTGGCTGAGCTGGAATGCTTTGCTGAGTAGTTGGGTGGTTCTCTAGTCCAGCTGATCCGTGATCGTAGCCACCGTCTGGGCGTGGAGTCAGGGGCACGGAGTCATAGCCGGCTTGACGGACATGCCTATGAATGATTTGAACGCCACGAACGTCTTGGGTTTTAGCCATTTGTTGCCAGAGGGCGGAGGATCTTGTCTGAAATTTTGGAAATTTTGCTTTGGCTAGGGCTTAGGCTAGGGCTTAGCCCTTGACAGTTAGGAAAAAAAAGATTTCCACTCACTTTACAGTAATCAGCTTCATTCTGCAGCAGCGACTGCACTTCTTGTAGGTAATTGTAGATGAAAGGAACACTTAATATACACACAAAAGCTGCCACCATGGACATGCCAACACCAACAACCGCGTACCGCCGCAACGTTTCACATTGGCGTTCTAGCCTGTGCCTTTCATAATCGGCACACTTTTCCATGTTTGAGTTGGCCTGGAACTTAGTATAGTACATTATGGTTAGCGAATTTAGTAGCGTACTGTATGGTACAGTAGAATAGACGCACAATAAATATTAAAGTAAGATCGATTTTGAACTGGTGAGGGGAGGGGGGGGAGAGACCACGTTCTAATTTAAAATTTTTGGAATGAAGCTACCCCTGCTATAAAATACAATAAACTACCTCATTCTAGTTTAACATACACTAAATTACCCAACTCAACCCTACTTTGTTTAGCTTTATCTTGCCCGACTGTACCCTACGGTACCCTACTTTAGCCTATCCTACCTTATTTAGCTTTACTTTGCCATACCGTACCCTCGCCTAGCCTAATTTAGCCTACCTTACCCTACTCTTTTCTTCTTTACCCTACACTATTCTACCCTACCCTACTTTAATACACCTTACCGAGCTTTATACTTCCCAGCTTTACCTTACCTCTACTTTTTTTACTTTGTCTTGCCTCAACTTTACTCTACCCTAACACCTGGCCCTGTTGCTACTATACAGCATTAGAAGCAATTCAAAATCGATATATAAATGAAATCTTACAGTTTAAAAATTTTCAAAATCCCATACAACCCAAAAGCCCTAAGGCATTCAAAAACTATGTAAAGATGTCGCAAATGCTAGCAGGTGGAGGCGGTAATGCGTAATAGGTTTGAGATAAATCGGGTGGAATGAGGTAAAGAGGCTTCTCCCTTTACCGCAACTGATTAGGATCAGTTCACCTGAGTGACCTCAATCCTCAATATCTGACGCAGCTTCCGAAAGATGTTTTTTAAGGTTGTAAACTTACTAAGGTAGGCTTGGGATAGCGCTAGGGTCAAAGCTAGGCTAGTGTTATTAGGGCTTAGGCTTAGGTTTAGGTTTAGGCTTAGGTTTAGGCTTAGGCTTAGGCTCAGGATCAGGCTCAGGCTCAGGCTCAGGCTTAGGCTTAGGCATCTGCTTAGGCTTTGGCTTAGGCTAGGGCTTATGCTAGGGCTTAGGCTTAGGCTTAGGTTTAGGTTTAGGCTTAGGCTTAGTCTTAGGCTTCTGCCTAGGCTTTGGCTTAGGCTAGGGCTTATGCTAGGGCTTAGGCTTAGGCTTAGGTTTAGGTTTAGGCTTAGTCTTAGGCTTCTGCTTAGGCTTTGGCTTAGGCTAGTGCTTATGCTAGGGCTTAGGCTAAGGCTTAGGTCAAGTTTATGGCGTAGGCTCGTTCATAGGCTATTTTTAGGCTACGGCTTAGGCTAAGATATATGGTAGAGTTAGTAAAGCTTAGTTACGGACTTAGAAAAACGCTTAGGCTACAGCTGAATGCTACAACTGTTATATAGATAGAATGAATATAGCGCTTGGCCTAGCCAATGTTAGGGAATTGAAAGAATGAAAAATATAAGAAACCGTATTTTAGGTTAGCCGTAATTAAGAAAAAACTTATTTAAAACACGTAAATTTCAAAATAAGGCTTACAGAAAAATTTAAAGCTTTTTCAAAAGCAAAACGAATAAAAATACAAGATTAAGATTTACGGTTTTTTTCAGACCATTTTCTAATAAAATTTGTAAATTCCACGAAAGTCGTAAACCGAGATCGTTTACAAAATGAGGTCGTAATAACAAACTTACTCCTTTTTGTAAACCAAGGTTTTACAAACTAAATTTCAATTTTCCTACTCTACCCTACTTTGCTCCACCTTACCCTGCCCTATCCTACTTTACCCTACCCTACCCTACCTTACCCTACCCTACCCTACCCTACCCTACCCTACCCTACCCTACCCCTACCCTACCCTACCCTACCCTACCCTACCCTACCCTACCCTACCCTACCCTACCCTACCCTACCCTACCCTACCCTACCCTACCCTACCCTACCCTACCCTACCCTACCCTACCCTACCCTACCCTACCCTACCCTACTCTACCCTACCCTACCCTACCCTACCCTACCCTACCCTACTCTACCCTACCCTACCCTACCCTACCCTACCCTACCCTACCCTACTCTACCCTACCCTACTCTACCCTACCCTACCCTACTCTACCCTACCCTACTCTACCCTACCCTACCCTACTCTACCCTACCCTACTCTACCCTACCCTGCCCTTACTCCAAACTTATCCTGTTTTACTCTACCCTGAACTTACTTTACTTTTTCTTTTTCACGTTACTGTACTCTTACCTTTATTTCTATCTATCCTTGTACTTTATTTTGCCTTTAGGCTGCTTTCTTCTGCTTTACCCTACATTACTCTACCCTCATCTTATCTTCCCCTACTTTAATGTACCCTTACCCTACTCTTCACTTAACGATTACAATTTAAATACAAAAAAATTGAATATTATACAAAATTTGTTACAGTAAGAATCCCAGTTACAGTAAGAATCCCAGTACACTACGTATAACCACAATATCATGTTTAAAAAGACTGGCTTCCAGATTACTAAACCAAACGATGATAACTTTATGAAACATTGTCGTGGAGAACTGGATAAGCGGCAATCAAATAGTGATAACGAGCCGATCGCCTTCGATTTTCAAGTTTTTTTTCACAAATCCCCTGGAGACAATGTCGCCAAAAGTATTTTACTCATTAGCAGAACCGGTTTCGAGGATGAACATCACATAATGTTAATTTTATGAGTTTGGAACGGAAATGCGTGGTCAAGTCTACGTATTGGATCATCCGCGCAGGAGTTTAGTTTACAAGGGAATTTGAGATTTGAAGTGTGTTCAATAAAATTAAAGAAAAAATAAGAAAAAGCTTTCTAAAAAAGTTTGAATATGTAAAATACGTTGGGCTTAGGCTTAGTCTTAGGCTTAATCTTGGGTTTAGGTTTAAGTTTTGGCTTTGGCTTCGGTTTAGACGTAAGCTTAGGCATAGGATTATTCTTAGGCTTAGGCTTAAGCTTAATCTCAGGGTTAGGCTTAAGTTTAGGCTTAAGCTTAGGCTTAAGTTTAGGCTTAAGCTTAGGCATAGGCTTAGGCTATGACTTAGGCTTTGTGAGACACTTGGCTTTAATTTATATTGAAGCTTAGAATAAATGTCAGCTAAAGCCAAGCCGCGGCCTACAAATTCGTTTTTTATCTTATATAAAGTAGATACAACTAACTAACTATATTTACTATTCTCTCACCGTTCTGAACCATGACTCCGTGGCGCAACGGTAGCGCGTCTGACTCCAGATCAGAAGGTTGCGTGTTCGAATCACGTCGGGGTCAAACGTCTTTTTTTGGTGTTTTTGTCATTTTATTAATAGTAAAACATCTCCATAACATTTTTTATTGTTTTTTTTGTAATTCACAGCTATTTTAAGCTTAAAATTTGTTGAAAAAGGCTGTTTTTTAGCTAAAAAACTGTGTTTTTGGTTAGTTTTTAGAGGTTTTACTATACATGTAGTAAGTTAACGTTTTTTTGAAATTTAACAAAGAAAGTACCCTACCTGCTCGGCTCAGAATCAGCTCAAAATTTTTATATGAATTTCTTGTGCAACCAACAGTACCCATAAAAAATTTCAGCTCGTGTTCTTGAGTTTTAAATTTAAATTATTTGACTTTCCCGCCAATTTGGCAAATTTGGCATTGTGTTTCAACCAGTTTTTTCGGCTTTCCAGACAAGATACGCTTACAAATTTAAAAATGTAGGTTCATTTAAAGGTTTTCTACTAGCATATCAAAGAAAAATAATTAAAAGCCAAAAAATGACAAAGTTACAAGCTTGAAACACGATGCCAAGTTGGCGGGAAATTCAAAATGTCATTTTTAATCTCGATTTTCCTGGAAAGCGCGGTTTAGTAATTTGCTGAAGATCTTATATTATACATGATCTTTCTATATAAAAAGTTTGAAGTCAATTAGAGCGGGGCAGGTCGGGCACTTTCCTTGTAAGTTGATTTTTTTGGCTGCTTAATATTCGTTTTAGCATTAAAATGAAATTAAGAAAATTTTTGCTAGCCATTTTTTAAAGTTTAATACCAAAGTAAACTTTCTTTATTCGCACTGACAATCTTGAACCGAGAAGTAACAAAAAAGTAGACAACTCAAAACTTGTCATTAATAATGTTTTTTACCCTTTGGCAGTTCATTCCGCAAAATGGTTTGGTTAAACGGTTTGGGTGTGGTGAAGAAACGTTCCTTGCAATGTTCCAAAACGTTTCGGCGCCATATAAGCCGGTTTACAGTAAAGTCAAGGTCAACGTTTTTGTTTACAAATGAATAGGCTTATAATTAGTTTGTTACTCGGAATGAAGGAAGTTTGTTTACAGAGTTCTTGGAAGAAAAAACGAAAAATTTAAAAAGCATAGGCTTAGAATAAAGCTTAGATTTAAGATTAGGCTTATGGTTTGGCTTAGGTTTAGGCTTAGGCTAAGGCTTAGGCTTAGGCTTAGGCTTAGGCTCAGGCTCAGGCTCAGGCTCAGGCTCAGGATTAGACTCAGGCACAGCCGGAGGCTCAGGTCTAGGTTTAGGTTTAAATTTAGGTTTAGGTTTAGGGTTAGGGTTAAGCGTACGCTTTGGCTTACGATTAGGCTTTGGCTTAAGCTTAGGGTTACACATAGGCTCTGGCTTCGGTTTAAGTTAGACTTTTGCTTAAACAAAAGCTTAATTTTCGACTGAAAGCTAGGATTAAGCATAAGCTTTATGTTGGGTTAAAAATCGGAATAAATATTAGTCTTAAGCTTAGACGTAGGCTTAAAGCTAGATTAAAAGTTAATTTTAGGCTTAATTTTAAGCTTAAACTTTTAAGCTTTTGCTGAATTTTAGCTTAAGTTAATGTTAGGGCTAAAGCTACTGTAGCATTTTTAAGTTGAAAAGGCGTGAAAGAGTGAAATATCATAACGTTTTAAACCTGCAAAACTGATGCTTCTTAAGCCTTAAATGTACAGTAAGAAAAATACAATATCAATAAATGCTTTTTCTTTTTATAATTAAAAGAAACTCCGTATGCCATTATTTATTTACTCTCCAAACCTTTTCGCCACGCGCGAAGCGCCTGTTAATCCATCGCAAAAGAGATGTCTCATAAAAAGAAGTGAGCTAAAGCACGCGCGTCTGTGGTGTAATGGTCAGCATGGTTGCCTTCCAAGCAATCGACACGGGTTCGATTCCCGTCAGACGCAGAAGGTTTTTTTGGAGTTTTTGATTGTAAAATGACATTTTTATTATATGAAAGTAATTTCTTACATAGTAAAATGTTGTTTTAAATACTTTTGTATTAGTATGTTTTGTAAATTGGCAAATTTAAGCTTTTTTTTACATTTTTTAGAAAATTTTTTTAATTTTTCGAAATTTTTACCAATAATATACCAAATGAAATACCAATCATACAAGTTTATTAACCATCTTTCAATAAATCAAGCCTTCCATTTAAAAATCCATCCAAATGTGAAAAAAACCCCAAGGGCATGTTGACTTTGAAGCCAAAAAACGCCACAATCAGGCTCTTTAGTAGCGACGCATGGTGCGGGCTGGGCATGGGCAGTAGGCGGCATCTGGACCGGGTTGGCCTGGACCACCGCTGGATCCTGGCAGACCGTCGTTTCCGGGCTGTCCTGGTTGACCGTTTGGTCCGGCTGGTCCTGGTGGTCCTTGTCCTCCGGGCTGACCTGGCTGTCCGTTTGGTCCTGGTTGTCCTTGTGGTCCTGGAGCACCAGATGGTCCCTTTGGTCCGGGTTGGTTGATGGAGCGGGTAGCGTCTTGGCCTGGGTGTCCTGGCTGTCCTGGAGATCCTGGCTGTCCTGGGGCACCGGCGTTACCGGCTGGACCGGCTGGTCCTGGTGGGCCTGGTGGGGTTGGTTGGGCTGGGGCACCGGGTTGACCGTTTGGTCCTGGTGGCCCTTGGGCTCCTGGACGTCCTGGCTGGCCTGGTGGTCCGGCTGGGCATTGGGTGCATCCGGTTGGGGCAGCTGGGCATGGGGCGGCTGGGGCTCCTGGTTGACCGGCTTGTCCTGGGTGTCCTGGGGTACCTGGCTGACCGGGTTGTCCTGGTGGTCCTGGGGGTCCGGCTGGGCCTGGAGGGCAGTTCACCTTTGGTGGGGTGCATTGGCACCAGGCTGGGAGGCCTCCGTTGGCTTGACGTTTCTGGCGGAAGATCGAGTTGAAGGGGTTCTCACGAGGCTTGGATGGTGGGGTGACCTGGAGTTGGACCTCCATGAGTTGGGTCCATGCGCCATCGGTTTCGTCGCGGAACTGTTGGACACCGAGGGTGACCTTCTCGTTCAGGGCTGTGATGGTGCTGTAGAGGTTGGGTACCACTACCAACACAGCGATGATGGCGGCGGCGGAGCAGGCGGAAGCGACTCCAACTACGATCTTGGCGTCGTGCATGGCTGTTCTTGTCGTGGGAGAGGGAAAAGAACGGCAACTGCGATTTGGTTGGAGACGGTGGGGGCTTATATAGGGCGGCCGTTCTTTGGGTTTTACTGTTTCAAGGTCTTTTTTGGGGTGTTTAAGGGGGGGGAGGTTCAGCGGAAGAAAAAAAGTGATTCGGAGAAAGGGCGGGTCAGGGGTGAAAGGTCAAGAACGGGGGGGGAGAGGGGGGGGTGAAAGGGAAGAGTAGGAAGGGGGGGGGGGTTGGAAAAGAGATGTAAACGTAGAAGAGAGATTCAGAAAGAGCACGGTAAAACGGTTTAACAAAAGGTTTGGAACGCCCAAAGAACGGCGAAACCGTTAGAGAACGATAGACCGTTCCGTGAAGGGTTCAATTACAAAAAGAAGAAAGTTGATTTAACAGAAAACGCAATTTATCGGCGAAGGAAAGGTAAGAAAGTTGTAGCCAACCGGTTCAATCAATGACATTCGAACCTGATCGCCCCGAATGGCCTTATTCTTACTGAATTTACTGAATTACAAAACAATTACATTATTGTTAAGCAAAAGTAAACAAAGCTTTAGATAAAAATGGTTTTAAAAATAAGCCTAAAATTTAGATTATGCTTAGAAGGGCGCTTGTACTTAAGCCTAAGTTTAGATTTTCCGTTCCGCTTAGGCTTAAAGTAAAACTTTAGTTTAAGCTTAGGCTTAGGCCTAGGCTTAAGCTTAGTTTTGAATTTATGCTTCGACTTAAGCTTAGTCACAGGCTTTTGCTTAAGATTATGCCTAGATTTGGATTTTGGTTTAGACTTAATTTTAGGCTTAGGCACAGAAAAAAAAGTTTTTTATAAATAAAAAGCAAATGGCAAGAACTTTCTTTACAAAACATGAAATGGCAATAACTTTCTTTACAAATCATAAAATGGCAAGAACTTTCTTTACAAAACAATAAATGGCAAGAACTTTGTTTACAAAACAAAAAATGGCAAGAACTTTCTTTAAAAAATTTTTTTGTATAACTTAATGCAATTAAGTACTGCATTTTACATTTAATTTATTTATCAATTTCCAAGAAACTTTGAATTTTTCAAAACACAGTTTTTGTTTTAACAAAGTGGTTTGCTTTACTTTGTAAATTGGTTTAAGAACACAGACATTCCAAACCTTTTAATCAACGTTTTGTCACTAATAAACGACTATGATTACGTAGCGAAATTGATGAAATAGAAGTTAATTGAAAAAAAAGTAATGAAAATGACAATAACTTTCTTTACAAACAAAATGGCAATAACTTTTTTTTTCAAAAGATAATTTTTAGACTAGGGTACAGCTAGGCCAGGTTTTAAAGTTGAGCTTAATTTTTTGGTTTAGTCTTAGAATTAGGCTTAGGTGTGGTTAAAGCTTAGGCTTAGGTGTGGTTAAAGCTTAGGCTTAGGTGAGGTTAAAGCTTAGGCTTAGGTGTGGTTAAAGCTAGGGCTAAAGCTAGATTTGAGCCTGGGCTAAGGATTAAAAATAGGGCTCTGGGCTAGGGCTCTGGGCTAGGGCTCTGGGCTAGGGCTCTGGGCTAGGGCTCTGGGCTAGGGCTCTGGGCTAGGGCTCTGGGCTAGGGCTCTGGGCTAGGGCTCTGAGCTAGGGCTCTGGGCTAGGGCTCTGGGCTAGGGCTCTGGGCTAGGGCTGTGGGCTAGGGCTCTGGGCTAGGGCTCTGTGCTAGGGCTCTGGGCTAGGGCTCTGGGCTCTGGGCTCTGGGCTAGGGCTCTGGGCTAGGGCTGTACAAAGATACTGAAGGTTATGAAAAAGCTTTATTTACAATATTAACCGCCAAACTCTAATACAACAAACCTCATAATTTGTATTTTTCCTAGCCTATCTCCAAGCCTGATTCAGCATTTCGAAGTACAGCTCCCTCTCATTCACTTTACCATCAGTTATCTTCCTCTTTATCACATAAACCCGTACCAGCTGGGGCTCCAGTTTCTCAACAGCTGACTTGTTATTCTGGACCAATAACAATAGCAATGATATTGACTTTCTTTTCCACGCTGGGATTACTGTAATTTGAAGAACTGCGGCAGGTAAAAACATTATAGACACCCATAAAGGGCCGGTGGCGTTTGTTAGCCCTGTGAAATTCTGAAATTTTACAAATTTTAAAAAATAAAAAAATGGCAAGAACTTTCTTTACAAAACATGAAATGGCAAGATCTTTCTTTACAACTAAAAACTTGTGAAACATACCGGTATTTGATCTGAAAACAACACGGCGACTAAAATTTGGAAAGCAACGAAGATGCCGCCTAGAACGGCCAAGAAGCCAGATTGTATAATTAATGTGACAGATCGAATGTTCTCACTCAACTGAAAGCGCTGACTTAATGTATACGTTTGGACATGTATTTTCGACCGAGTAAACCTACGACGATTCCAACGATGCGTTTGGTACAGTATCTATAAAGTAAAGTAATCTAGGGTATGTTGCTGGTGCTTACCAAAAATAGTACAAGAAATGATAACATGCTGGCGGCTAGTACTAGTGCTGATTGTAACATAGCTAAAAAACCGTAAAATTACAGCAAAATGGCAAGAAATTTCTTTACAAAACAAAAATGGCAAGAACTTTCTTTACAAAACAAAAATGACAACAACTTTCTTTCCAAACCAAAAAGCACTCCAAAAACTACAGTATGTTCAACTTACAAATCCAGCTGTAAGCCATACAGTAAGCTAAAAAATAAGTTAAAAACCAAGTTAAAATAGAAGCCAAAAATACTGTAAATGAGTTACTTTGCTTTTCATATGACCGTAAATGTACCGATGCGTATATACGTTCTATGAATAGTAACATAGCATGGAATAGAAAGGAAAATCCGCCCCATAAGAAAGCAAAAAATCCAAAATGAAAAGGCTCTGGCAGGTAAAGAAGATCTTTTATTACTGTTCCTGAAAATGGTATTTGTTACAATATACCGTTTTTTTTAAATTTTTTTTTATATTATACGTAACTCAAGAGAATAGCACAAGCAAGGCAAGGGTAGAGCATGATTAAAAAAAGATAAGGGTATAGATAAGATCAAGACGGTCAAGTCAAAAGGCTATGGCTAAAGCCGAGATCAGAAGCAGAACTAAAAACAAATCGTGGGCTAGGACTAGGACCCAGATTAGAACTAATACCAGAACTAGAGCCAGGACCAAGACGTGATAGAAATCTAGCCTAATTTACGCCCGGCTTAGGCAAGGCTAAGAGAGGACAGAACAGGACAAAGCTAGAGACTAGCGTGCAATTCAAGGCAAGGCAAGGCAAGGCAAGGCAAGGCAAGGCAAGGCAAGGCAAGGCAAGGCAAGGCAAGGCAAGGCAAGGCAAGGCAAGGCAAGGCAAGGCAAGGCAAGGCAAGGCAAGGCAAGGCAAGGCAAGGCAAGGCAAGGCAAGGCAACGGCAAGGCAAGGCAAGGCAAGGCAAGGCAACGGCAACAGCAACGGCAAGGCAAGGCAACGGCAAGGCAAGGCAAGGCAAGGCAAGGCAAGGCAAGGCAAGGCAAGGCAAGGCAACGGCAAGGCAAGGCAAGGCAACGGCAAGGCAAGGCAAGGCAAGGCAACGGCAAGGCAAGGCAAGGCAACGGCAAGGCAACGGCAAGATTAGACTAGAAAAAACACTACAACATCGAAGCAACGTACCACCGACGATGCCGCCCTTACTTTGGTAATCTTTTTGACTGATAGCAAAACCACCAATTACTACAATGCCTATAAAGATCAATGCAAATGATATACCGATACTGCCCAACAGTAATCTCATATGAGAATGGAAAACCTTAAAACTATACAGTAGGTACAGTATGTACAGTATGCATAGTACGTCGATACAACCGAAGATACACGACAAAGCGTATGCTGTGTCCAACCATACATTCGGTATTGTTATTGGCATGCGAAGGTACGGTAGTCCTTAAAGTATAACTTGATATTACTAAACCTTGTACCTTGTAGTATACGAAAGGAAATACAGTATTATAATAGTCTTTAAAAACCAGTTTTTAAAAATTTAGGCTTATGTTATAGGTATTAAGTAATATATGTAAGTAAAGATATATTGACATAGATCTTAAATACGAACATATATTTGAAAATGACTAAGCAAATATGGTTCTGCAGCAATAACTACTGTTTACATGCACAATTACACTTGGTAAACACCTGAAAATTTTAAAATATGCTTAAACTGGTTAAGAAATAACGACGTACATTTTGAACCGTAACGTAACATGTGAGTAAATTGGCATTAAAGTATATTTTTAATTTTATTTAGGCCTGAATAATCATTTTGCGAGCTATGGCAAAAAAAATAAAAAAAGCCATTGTTGTCTTTTTTAGCCTATGTCGCAACGTCAGCGTAGCGAAAGTATTAAGACAGAGTGAAACACCATGTAGGGGCAAGGCGAGGGGCCAAGAGAACCCTGGATTCACTCCTCTATGATCGAAAAGAATAATGTCTCCTTTGTAGCTTAAATGGTAGAGCAATTGTCCAGTAAGCGAGAGGTTACGGGTTCGACTCCCGTCGGAGACAGGCTTTTTTCCTCCTGGTGTTAGTATCGCACAGTAGTATGCCAGTTGTCACGCGCTCGACAGCCTAAGCCAACGATCAAATCAAGACAAGAAACAGGGCCAAGACCAAAACAAAGACTAGTATCAAAACTAGAACAAAGACTAGGACTAAAACCTAAACTAATACTGTAATCTGAGCCAAAGCCCGGGTCAAAACCAAGACCAAAACCAGTAATAGGATTAAAACCAAAGCCAGCACTTGGTCCAGGATCAAAACCTAAGCCAGGACCAAGGTAGAGACCAGAACCAAGACCAGGAACATAACCCAAAACAGAACTAACATAAGTACAATAACAGGATCAGAATTAGAACCAAGACAAGAACTAAGACCAGGACCAAAGTCAGAGCCAAAACCAGGGCCAGGTTCTGTTGTTAGGGTGAGGACTAGAGCTAGAACTAGGACTCAGGGCTAGGGCTCTGGGCTAGGGCTCTGGGCTGGGGCTTTGGGCTAGGGCTTTAGGCTAGGGCTTTGGGCTAGGGCTCTGGACTAGGGCTTTAGGTTAGTTTACTTTATTTACACTATCCTTATTTACATTACATACACTATTACTGCCAAGCATTGTTGAACATTTCAAAGTAAATTTCCTGTTCTTCCGTCTTTCCTTCAGTTTGTTTTCTCTTCAGAACATAAACCTTGACCATTTCATGTTTATTATTGGTTATAGAGTCCATTACTTTGTTTAGTCCAGCTACACCAACGCTAGACTGTAATAGAGAACTGGCAGTTCGTTTCCATGCTGGTACTTTACAGATTTGCATTATGGCGGCAGGTAGAAATAAAGATGACAGTGTTAAGGGTCCTGTTACGTTCATTATTGGTACTAGCTTCTAAACACTGTTATTAAATTAGGTAGTAAAGAGAAAGTAGATTTAGATTTAAGCTTAGGCTAAGAAAGATGTTAAGCTCAAAGTAAAAATTAATCGTAGGCCTAGTGTCAATCTGAGGCTTAGCCTTAGACATAGGCGTAGTCGCTTTGATTTAGGCTTAATCTTAGGCTTAAAACTTAGGTTTAGGCTTACGCTTAACCTTAGGCGTAAGTTCAGAGTCAAGCTCAAGCTTAGTCTTAGGCTTGAGCTAATCTTAGTCAGACCCTGTCTTAGGCCCTAGCTTAAGCCCTGGCATAGGCTTAGACTTCGCCTTAAACTTAGGTTTAGATTTAAGCTTAGGCTTAGGCTCTGGCTATGACTTAGGCTTGGTCTTAAGTTAAGTCTTAGGTTTAGGCTTATGCTTAAACTTAAGCTTAGATTTCAGATTGGTCTTAGGCTTAGGCTCTGGCTTCGTCCCAAACTCTGGCTTAAGCTCCTGCTTCGGCTATGAATTAGCTTTAGAATCGGGCTCAATCTTAAGCTTAGCCTTATCATTTGTCCTAGCCTTGTCATAGCCCTAATCCTGGCTCTAAAGTTTTTACTGACTTAAGCGTCTTACAGTCGAACACTATCGTATCTTTTTTATAAGTTAGAAGCCTTGCAATTATTCGAAATAACCTTTTTATTACAGTAATTTAACTTATTATTATACAAAATGAACTATCAGTCTTTCGCGAAAAGAATGTTACAAAACTGCACAGTGCAGTTTGAAGGAATCGCTGTCGCGCCGAGAATTGGGCGACAAGCGACAAGGTCTGCGACAGTCGCTTGCACCCGGCGACATCCCAATGGAAATCGCAATGTCGCAAGTCCAAAGCTTTGCGACAAACTGTCGTGTCGCGCTTAGAATGGCGATGCGACAGTGTGTCGCGGTTGTCGCAACGCTCAAGCCACAACTGTGTTCAATGGAAGGATTGCGACACGTTTTTTTGACTGTTGCAAGTCATTGAATCCTGCGACAACACACCGGTGCGGCACTGAAGGGATTGCACTGTGCAATCTTTCCTCACATCGTTGGCTGTATCGAGTGATCGCGCGGGAAGTCTGCACTGTGCAGCGGAATTAAAAGGGCGCGATTTTCTCGGGGACTGCACCGTGCAGCTGTAACATTCTTTAGTGGAAAGACTGATATTAAACTTACAGCTACTAATTTAAATTATATTACCCGAACAATAAATTACAAAAGAATACTAAATGCAATTGTACTTTTAATGAAGTACGACTATAATAATAATCAAACCAGATGATATGACAAAGTTTCATAACTTCCTTCTACTATAATATAATATTCTAAACCCTTAAAAGAAGCCATGCCACTTTAAAATAAACCTATAACAAAACTCACCACAGCCAAGCTAGGAAACAGAATTGGAGCCACAAGTTGCCCCACAGTCATAGCTCCTCCTAAGGTAGCAAACGCGGCCGATTCCAATATCAATCGTACCGTGCGCACGTTCTCACTCAATTGGAACCGCTGACTTAACGTATAGGTCTTAACGTGAATTTGAGAACGATAGAAACGTTGAATGTTCCAGATGTGCGCTCGGTATAACGCCTGGAATAAGGTTCGGTGAAGCTTAGAACAAGAATTGGAAAAACGGGTTATAATATCGTTTCTTTGAAGATGGAAGTTGAGTGGAAGATTTGTAATGTAATTTACACTAAAAATCTTCCACCAAACTTCCAATTTTAAAATGTCTTAAAATTGCTTAAAACACGTTTTTGACACTTTTTGAAAGTGGAAGATAGGTAGAAGATTTTCAGTGCAAAACACATTACAAATCTTCCACTTAACTTCCATCTTTAAAAAGTACTAAAAACGTGTTTTTAGGCCATTTTAATACATTTAAAAAAGTGAAAGTTAAGTGGAAGATTTTCAGTGCAAAATACATTACAAATCTTCCACTCAATTTCCACTTTATAAATCCTGTATTTTAGCTATTTTATAGCAATTTTATGCTTAATAAACGACGTTTTTGGCAACTCAAAGCCATTCAGAAAAACTAATATTAAAAAATAAACTTACACTAACTAGACCCACGTATAAAAATATAGCCATGGCTAATAGCAATGCAGTTGTGTACAAAGCTAAAAAGAACAGATTATGAATAACTTATTTAGGACACAACTAACAGAAAATAATATACAATATATAGAGAAAAATAGTTACAACTGTACTACAGATTACGGTATTACTAGGAGGTATAGTAGTAAAGAAGGCTAGCAAAAGAGAGAGTGCGACAAGGTAAAGATAGAGCAAGGTAGAGAATAAAGTACACTAGGCCAAGATAAAGTGAAGCAAAGTACAGTAGACAAAGATAGGGTAGGGTATAGTAGAATAAGATAGTGTAAGGCAGGATAGAGCAGGGTACAGTAGGGTAGGGTAGGGTACTTACAAATCCACTGAAGCACGATGCTTTTGGCCAAGATATATGTAGCGAAAATGATGACAATTACAGTTGTTACCACGTTGAAGGTATGTGATTGCTTTTCGTACGCTCTAAGTCGAAATGAAGCGTAGATTCTCTCACAATATACTAACATTGTAAAACACAGAAAAGCCAATCCTGCCCATAGAAATACAAAAAGAAAAGATTGATAAGGTTGTGGCAGTTGGAGGGCTTTGGCCAGGTCTACACCTTAATAGTGATGTTATATTTCGCTATTTCAAAAAAAATTTTTAATGAAAAAATTTCGAAAAATTTTGAAATTTTAAATATTTCAAAAAAAAAATTTTTTTCAATTTTAAATTTTTTAATATTATGCTTAAAAGACCATAGGTAATCATTGACTTCATGCCTCCACTCTTATTACCAAACCTTTCAGTGTAATACAATTATATAAATGGTTTCTTTTTCAATGACCTATTCCTTATTATTATATTACCAAAAAGTTTAGAGAACTTTTGCTCGTTTAATTTAATATTAGAGGCTGCTACTTCTTTTTTTCGTGGAACAAAGATTAACATGCATAAAAATATACTGTAACCTCAAGTTTCTTGCTTACACTAAACGAGTACTAGTTTTATCTCCAGCCCTATTTCTAGCCTAACCTAGCTTAGCCTCAACCTTAGCCTTAGCCTAAGCCGTAGCCTTAGTCGTAGCCCAGTCTAGTCTAGTATTGCCTCACCCCTAGCCTTAGTTTTAACCTTAGCCTAAGGCTTGGTCTACCTCCTGCCCTACCTAATCGTACTGCATCCTACCGTATACTGCCCAACCCTACTTTATTCTAGCTTAACGTACCGTGCCGTAACCAATCTTAAGCTTAGCCCTGTCCCCAGCTTTAACCCTATCCCCAACTGCATCAGTCCTGTCCTACCGCACCGTATCCTATTATACCCGGCTTTAAATACCTTGCCCTACCCTAAAATTTTTCAAAAAATTTCAAAAACTTACGCTGATACTCCCCATCACCAACAGCAAATATACCAGTAAAAAATATACAAAAGAATAGTATGATTAGAGCAATAGTAATAGACACCATTAAATAACGAAGATTCGAGTGAAATACTGGATGAATTACTACACAGTATACAATAAACATGGACAATAAGATATTAATTAAGCTTAGTATAGCGATTGTCATGTAGCCTATATCCATCCAAATTAACGTCATTTTAAAAGTTTTCAAAAAAAAATGTTAGGTAACAAATTTTTTAAAATTCAAATTTTCAAAAAAAAATTAAGTTTTAGGTAAAAAATACAATCGCCGGCCGTCTAACAAAACTAATTTAACTTTCTGAAAAAAATTACAGAATGAAAAGTTAAGTACCTAACACCAGGTGCAAACAGTTTATTTTGTTATGGATAAAAGTTTGATGTTCATAGAAACATTTTTAATTTGTCGGTCATACATCATAAGTTATATTGCGACAAAAATTTAATTTATGATTTAAAATGTTGAAAAAAATTGCAAGAACTTCCTTTACAAAACAAAAAATGGCAAGAACTTTCTTTACAAAACAGAAAATGGCAAGAACTTTCTTTACAAAACAGAAAAACAAGAACTTTCTTTACAAAAGAATAAATGGCAAGAACTTTCTTTACAAAACAAAAAATGGCAAGAACTTTCTTCACAAAACAAAAAATGGCAAAAAATTTCGCTAGAAAACAAAAAATGGCAAGAACTTTCTTTACAAAACGTAAAATGGCAAAAACTTTCTTTTTAAAAAATATCTCTACCCTACCATAAACCTTGAAAGACTAAAAATATGTCCCAAATGGTTGAAAGACCAAAAATGAACATTCCCTAACGTTAGTACAACCACTTTTATTGATTATTCTCTCACTACCCCAAATCATGACTCCGTGGCGCAACGGTAGCGCGTCTGAATCCAGATCAGAAGGTTGCGTGTTCGAATCACGTCGGGGTCAAACGGCTTTTTGGCCGTTTTCGATACTTTTTGAAGCAGAAAAGATGCCTCATACCTATTTAGGTAGGGTAGGGCATAGCTCTAGCTTTACCCTGATCCTAGCCTTACCCCCGTGCTGGCCATATCCCGAGTTGCGTAAGGGGATATATTCGGATAGTTATTACTAAAAAAACTTCAATTTTCATATAAAAATAGCTTTTTATGCTAATTTGGATCAAATAAAAAACGTCACAAATACTAAAAATGGCTTATTTTTATTATTTATTTTCATTTGATCTCACACGTCCTTTTTACGTTTTTGAAACAAAAGTAGTGTATTACTGAACTTGTTTTGTGAAAATTGTCATATATGATGTCTGAAAAGGTAAGAAAATGCCATTTTTCACGACTTTTTTGTCATTTGCCAACTAATTTATGCTTCAAAAACTTTAAAAATATAAGGTTGTTCAAATAATTATGTGCCTCCTAAAACCGAAAATATTTTTTGAGAGAAGGCACAAAATTATTTGAACAACACAATATTAACCTTCAGATCTTCATAAACTCTTTTTTTTTTCATTTTTTCATGTAAAACCCTTGTCATTTCCAGATTGACCTCGTTTTGTTTTTGAAAACCCTACTCTGGACCAGTTTGATGATTGCCATTTTGGTTGCCACTGTACTTTATACAGCATTTTATTTCGGCAAAACAAAGCCTCAACTCCAGAAGACTGCCCAAGAAGGAGAAAATCGGCCAGTCAATATTTGTAAATCAGACTTGTGATTAATAAAATTTTACTCTGTAAGTATATTGTGTTACCTAATAAATATTTTTTTATAAATTTGAGTGATTTTTGTGCCTGCCCTACTTTATTTTATCGTGCCCTACCCTACCCTAAACTACCCTACCCTACCCTACTCTACTTTTCAACCCACGTTGACTATTCTATAGATAGCGCTTTATTATTGTTGTTACCAGCGATTTCAATACGTTAAAAATAAATTTACAGCTGCTTTTTTTGACTTTTATCCAAACAAATACTTTTCGTTCTAAGAATATATATACACTACTTTTTAAACTTTGTTATTTCTGATTTATTCTGATATTTCTTTCAAATTTTTAACAGAAACGAGCCTTCAAAACACTTTATAGCTTTTAAAAAGAGGTATAAACGTTTAGACTGTGCTTACGAAGTAAGCACACTAAGAGTGAAAGGTCTAATCAATACTACTAAACATAATCCTAAGCTTACTAAGCCGATTAAGCCTAAGCTTACTAAGCCTAAGCCTACTAAGCCTAAGCCTACTAAGCCTAAGCCTACTAAGCCGAAGCCTACTAAGCCTAAACCCACAAAGCCTAAGCCGTCTAAGCCGACGTCGTACAAAATAGTCCACAACTTATTATTACACTAGCGAATTTATTCTCAAAAAATAAAATTAATTCGGTGGGGTAAAACTTTATAAGGGGGGATTCAGCAGCAAAACCCGGCCGATGGATGGCCGGGCCAAAACAAACGGCGTCGCGATGTTGTTGCGACGCCGCGACGTGACGGGAAACAGCAGCAGTGGGATCAAGCTCACGATGTTGGTGAGGTAGGATGAGTCGCGGATATTGTGATAAGGATAACATTCAATGTGAAGTCGAGCGTAATCGACCAGCGGTCGACGGCGTTCGGCCGAGTGCTTAGTAGCCTGGTGGGGTACGTGGAGGTGGACAGTGTTCGCAAGAACCCTTCTCTCCGTCGTCTCCGGCTGGACCGGCGGCACCTGGTGGACCGGGGCGACCTTCGCGGCCGGCCTTTCCTGGCTCTCCTGGCAGACCGGGTGGGCCTTGGAAGGATTGTCCGTCTGGACCGGGTTGTCCCTTTTGTCCTTGTTCTCCGGGTGGGCCTGGTGGTCCGGCTGGTCCTTGTGGGCCTGGAACGGGGATGAGGCGTCCTGGTTGTCCAGGAGCTCCACGTGGTCCTTCGCGTCCTGGGCGTCCGACTGGACCGGGTTGACCTTGCATACCTTGTTCGCCGGGTACTCCGTCCTTTGGTGGCTCTCCTGGTGAGCCCTTTGGTCCGGGTGGTCCCTTTGGTCCGGGTGGTCCTTGTGGACCGGCTGGGCCTGGTGGGCAGATGATGCAAACTTCGGTGGCTTCGGCGGGGAGGAGTTGGGCGTCCTTTCCGTCTTGTCCGTCCTTTCCGTTCTCTCCATCGGTTCCGTCCTGACCGGCTGGTCCCTCGGGACCGGCTGGGCCTGGAGCGCCTTGGTGGCAGGTGCAGCATTGGGCAACTGGCTCGGCGTTGACGGCTGGGCCTCCGTATCCGCCGGATGGGGCGCCGGATGGTCCGCCGTAGCCGCCGGATGAGGGTCCGCTGCCGCCGCTTGGTCCGCTGCCTCCGGATGGAGCACCACCGGATGGGGATCCGCTGGATGAAGATCCACCTTCGTATCCGTTACCTTCTGGCACCCATTGGCCGAAGAGCCAGCCTCTCTTGACACGGTTGTAGTGTCCCTTTCCGATTTGGAGGGCGGTCATCTCCAACCACATGTCGCGTGAGCGGGCCTGGAAGATTGGATGGTAAATTTATTGGTTAGCCTCGGGGCGTATGCCTTCTATTAAACTTAAGCCTACTAAGCCTAAGCCTGTTAAGCCTACTAAGCCTAAGCCTGTTAAGCCTAAGAAACGCAAAAAAACCTAAAACCGATCAAACAACCTCACCTTGCAGTAGTCGGTTTCGACCATCAAGTGCGACTGGAAGGATTGAACGTAGCTGTAAAGCATGGGCAGAGTGACGACCGTGGCGATCACGGCGACCGTCGAAACGGCGACAGCAACGAATGCGATGCGACGCATCTGTCTGTGCGCGTCTGTCTCCTTGAGCGACGCCTGCGACTGATCCATGCTGACTGCTTGGGTGTCCGTGAAGTGAAACGCATTAGGCTCGGGTTTATATAGGCGCAGCCGAAGCCGGATGTGTGGGGTTTTCGCTAGCGCGCGCTTTCATCAACGCCCCGATTTATCTCGTCGACTTAAATCCACGAAACCCGGTGGGGTTTGGAAAAAGGAAAAAACACACAAAACGTGATAAGATTGTTCTTTTACTTAACTTTAGTTGGTTTTTCAAAAAGAAAGTTCAAGATTTTGTTCAGCAATGTATAAATATGGGAAACGGGCCGGGCCCATTTTTACTTGGAATCGGGCCGGGCTTTTCGGGCCAGCTTTTCAGGCCCTGCCACATCTAAAGTTGGCTCAGTCTTGACCCGGCCCGGTCCCCATGTATAGCAATGTAAGGCTAAGCATATTAACAAGAAAAGTACCCGACCTGCCCCGCTCTGATTGACTTCAAACATTTTATATAGAAAAAGAATGTAAATATAAGACCTTCAGCAAAGTACTAAATTGCGCTTTCCAGTCAATCTTAATAAAATTGAGATCAAAAAATTACATTTTGAATTTCCCGCCAAATTGGCATTGTGTTTCAAGCTTATACTTTGTCATTTTTTGACTTTTAATTATTTTTCTTTGATATACTAGAAGAATAACTTTAAATCAACCTACATTTTTTAATTTGTAAACGTAGCTTGTCCTGAAAGCCAAAAAATGCTCAACATATAATGCCAATTTGGCGGGAAATTCAAAACGTAATTTTGATCACATATTTTTCAAGAATTGGAAAGCGCGGTTTAGTACTTTGCTGAAGGTTTTATATTTACATGATCTTTTTATATGAAAAGTTTGAAGTCAATCAGAGAGGAACAGGTCGGGCACTTTCCTTGTAAGCCTAATAAAAAAGTACTAAGCCTAAGCCTAATAAAAAAAGCAATACAAACTCAATGCTTGTAATATTTATTCAAAAATTAATTAAATTTCAAATTAAGCTTGACGAGCACGTTGACGCATGGCACGAGCGCGCTTGGCGGCACGACGACGGTATTGCTGTTGAGCGGCTGGTACTTGGACTGAAGCAGCTGGGGCTGGAGTAGGTTGGCTGCCTGGAGCATAGCCCTCCTCAGCACCAGATTGACCACCAGCAACTGGAGCAGAAACTGGAGCACCGCCACGTGGTGGGCATGGGCAGTAGGCGGCATCATGTCCTGGAGTTCCCTGACCTCCTGGCGCACCTGGTTGACCGTCTTGACCTGGCTGTCCTGGTTGACCGGCTGGTCCAGCTGGACCTGGTGGGCCGGGTTGTGGGGCTGGGCCAGCACCTCCGTCTTGTCCTGGTTGACCGGCTGGGCCAGCTGGTCCTTGTGGTCCGGCTGGGCCTGGCACGGGGGTGGAGCGTTGACCGTCTTGTCCCTTCTCTCCTGGCTGTCCTGGAGCTCCTGGTTGTCCGTCTGGTCCAGCATCTCCGCTTGGTCCTTCAGTTCCTGGGTTTCCTGGCTGTCCGTCTGGGCCAGCTTGTCCTGGTTCACCGTTTGATCCGGCTGGTCCTGGTGGTCCGTCTGGGCCTGGAGGGCCAGCTGGTCCGGCTGGGCATGGGAAGCAGCCTCCTTTGCCGCCAAAGTCTCCGATTTGGGCAGCTCCAGCCAATCCAGATTTTCCAGCGTCTCCTGGAGCTCCGTCATCTCCTGGCAAACCGGGTTGTCCTGGTGGTCCAGGTGGGCCTGGAGGGCAGCTGTTGGCTTTGCGAGCACAACCCGAGTCTCCACCACAACCTCCTTGGCTGCCGCCTTGGCTGGCGCCGCCTCCGGACGAAGCAGCATCGTATTGACGCTTGTGACGGCCGATGAGTTGGTCGAAGGTTGGTTGGAATTGTCTTCTGGCCATGATCATCTTAGTCCAGGCACCGTCGGCGTGAGTTTTGAACTCGACCATATCGTCCATGATCTCATCGTACAAAGAGTTGATGTCATTGAAGATGTAGATGGCTGATACGATGCTGAATAGGACCATTGAGGCCGAAATGGCTGCAGTGATTTGTACTCCGAGCTTGCCCATGACTAAAATTTTTAAAATTTCAAATTTTCAAAAATTTTTTAAATTTCAAAAAAAAATTTTTTTTTAATTTAAAAAATTTTTTTTAAGAATGGAAAATCAATGTCATCTTCACATGGCATTTGGTCCAAAAGTCCTCAAAACCCTCTGTAACAGCTAAAACAAGCCAAAAAAAGTAAAAACAAGGCTCTTACCTGTCGATGTGAACCGAAGCACTGGATACCAAACCTCACCATGCCTTCCACTTATATACTGCACTGAAAACCACACTGTAAACAAAATTTCCGGTTCCTTTGTCCCCGGTTTAATACCATGAAATGGGACAGTTGTCAATTTTTTCATCACGCCCAGTCGATTTTTCCCTCAATTTTTCGCGTTTTTGCAACGAAAATTGGGTCAGCCTCGCGGCGGACTTTAAATTATTTTCCGTTTTTTAGTTTAAATTGTCGTTATCACATCACGAACGTAGTTGATGAGCGTTATTTACGACAATATATTTGTTGACTTTTACTTTCGTTTTTTTTTTGGTATAAGTGCAATTTTTAGTCGTTTTTAGGAAAAGACTTTAAATTACAAATTTCAAAAAAAATTTTATCGACCGGTCGATTATTTTTTCCATAATTATCGACTGGCTGATTATCGTTTTTTTACTAAAATTGTCGATTTTTCACAGTATGTCAAGTCATTACCCTACTTTTAGCCCTTTTTCCAAGATTTAGATCCCGCAGCCTGCGGGTGACATGTTATACGATAAAAACGAAAAACTTGGTCAATTTCTGAAACTTTAAAATTAAGAATGTTGTAGAACGAAGACACAAGATTACATTTATGCATAAAAACCCATTTTGGCCTTCTATCTACTTTTTATATCCCGCAGTCTGCGGCGACATTTTATACGATAAAAACGAAAATCAATAAACTCGGTCAATTCATAGAATTTTTAGATTTAAAACATTTTTACTAACAAAATAAAACCTTTCTTTATCATGATTTCAATCAATTCTGTTTTTTCACTTTTTAAATCCCGCAGCCTGCACGTGACATGTTATACGATGAAAACCAAAACAAATAAAAACCCAAAAAAATCTTATCCAACTTACAAAAACTGGTACCACAACATTGTAAAAGCAAATTTCAATACATAAAGGCCCTTTACCTTAATAAAAATGCCCAAAGTTTAAAAAAAATTAAAAAAAGTTTATTGTTACATCATGGAGAACAATAAGTTAACCATAAAATACAATAATATATCGTCGTGCTTTCCCTCTCCAACCACCCTCCGTACCCACACTAATCACCCTCCTTCGTTTAAATATAGATAAGCTCGCCATCGAGCTGTGACTCGTCGATCGTCTCATCTCCCACGTCTTGGCCCTCAACAAAGTAAAAGACCTTTTCGTCTTTGTTTCCAGAGCTCTTCACACCCCTTAGTTGATCACCAAAACCGTCCACTGATCCAACTTCAGCTCCAGCCGCATTCAGAGGCCAATTTCCATCGCCAGAAGGACCAAGCGCTCCTGTAATATCACCATGACCACGCACATAGTCTTTCAGGTTGCCGGAAGCGTGACGCTCACTACACGACCCAATGTAGAAGCAATTATTGTTCAGTGGTCTATCTAGACCGTCAATTTCGACTAGCTGGCGTGTGATCATACTGTATTCGTTCACGGTTCGTGGATATTCAGGTAGGACGCCCTTGTGAAGGCCGAGTTCGACCAGATAACGAATGGTTCTTCCTTTCAGCTCGGACGTGAATGCAAGCATTTTGAGTTGTTTACCACCGTCGAACTGGCCAGCAATGTACACTACGAAATCCTGAAACAAAATTGAGGTTTTCGTTGATTTAGGTAACAAAAATGCGAAATTTGCCGTCGTTATCACATCTGGCTGATAAAAAAAGCTAAATTACTATTAAAATATTTTATCAATTTCAAAAAAATCGGCCTATCTAAAATAAAAAAATTGTAACACTTACATCCTTAGAGTTCTCATCTTCAAAGGCCGCCGAATCCACGTCAATGTAGGCTTTGTACACGTTTCCACCCGAGATCATAAAGTCTCCTCTGTATTTGCGTCCATCGGCCTAAAACACTACTTTTAAACAAGTAAAAACGCATTTTTTAGCCAAACACGCTAAAAATTATATTATCCATGACGGAACCTGTTTCTCATACAATCAAGAAAAAATCAAGCCAAATTTTATCGGTATTGATAAAAAATGTTTATTACACCAATTCCAATCTAATAGAACGTTAATTTTCCAGTCAAAAGCTTAAGATCAGCCAAAAATTATATTATTCATGACGGAACTTATGTTTTTCTTAGAAACAAGGAAAATAGAGTCAAATCCTGTCCATATTGTTAAAAAAATATCTGGCAGATCAGGCTTAAGCTAACGCAGTGTGAATTTCCGGACAGAAGCTTAAAACCAGCCAAAAATTATATTATCCATGATGGAACCTAATGTTTCACTTATAATCATGCGAAAAGCAGGCCGAATCTATCCTTTATCAAAAAAAAGGTCTATAGCACCATTTTTAAGCTACAGCAACATTAATTTTCAGTCAAAAACATAAGATCAGCCAAAAAATTTATTATCCATGACAGAACGTCATGTTTCACCTAAATTCAATAAAAAACAAGAAAAAACTTACGTGAAACATGTTGTCCTTTACTTCCACATACTTGATAACCTTGTGCTGCTCTCTCAACACATCAAAGCCATCTTCAATCGTCTGGACATGAGGATTCTCGGTCAGATTCAACGAGAAACGATGCGATTCTCGCGTTTTCTTGTTTTCGTCCACAAAACCGACCAAAAAGAGGACGGACTAAAATATTATATTAATAATAACATTTTTAAGCTATTACTTTAGAAAATAACACAATGTAAGCCTAGCAACCATAAGAAACCTGAAAAATTTGGCGAGAGCTTATATTACACTTGCCAGAAAGGATAAAACTCAGCCTAGCACCTACCATTTCCGCGAAAACAAAATGAAATAAGCAGTTTCAACTTACCTTGATCTTATGAAACGTAAGATTTGCATATTGACTTCGAAATTCGCCCGGATTTCGAAAGAGAAAACAAAAAATTAAAAAATTTTAATTTTTAATTATTTTTTCGCACCGTGCAGGCCGCAAACCCGAGTTTATACGATGAAACATGTCCGAAAAAATGTTAAAGTTGCCATTTTAAACATAATGTTTGAAGAATATTTATCAGTACATGTAAAAATAGAAATTAATACACATAATATGCCATTCATAATATAAAGATCAGGCAGCTTGACGTTGACGCATAGCGCGAGCACGTTTGGCGGCACGGCGACGATATTCCACAGCAGGATCAACCTGGATTGGTCGAGAAGCTTGTCCAAAAAAATCACCAAGAACTGAAGCTGATACAGCTCCACCTCGTGGTGTACATGGACAATAAGGACCATCGTGACCAGGTAGACCACCGTTACTTGAAGCACCTGGTTGAATAAGGTAGGGCAGAGTAAAGTAGAGTAGAGTAGTGTAGGACAGAGTAGGATAGGGTAGGGTAGGAAAATAGGATTAGGCTTAGGCTCAGGCTTAAGCTTAGGCTTAGGCTTAGAATTAGAATTAGACTTAGGCTTAGGCTTAGGCTTAGGCTTAGGCTTAGGCTTAGGCTTAGGCTTAGGCTTAGGCTTAGTCACAGGCTTAGGCTTAGGCTCAAGCTCAAGCTCAGGTGTAGGCTTAAGCTTAGGATTAGACTTAATTTTAAAATATAGAATTTTACCGTAAGGAACTTTAGTCAAGCACAAATGCAAAATTAGGCTTACCTGTAGAGTTTTGCCTAGATTTAGGTTTAGGTTTATACATAGCCTATAATAAGAAAGTTTTTTTCGTTTTTTTTTCGTATTTTTTAAACAAAAAATTTTTTTTTATATTTCAAAATTAAGTTATCTTTTAGTCCATATTACTAAATTTAAATTTCCTCTTCAAAACATGAAAAAGTGCTGCTACCGTATGCCGATTGCTGTAATAAATGTTTCCCAAATCCTCGATATTATTCGAACTCACGTGATTTCGTGTGAGTTTTAATTAGAATTACCTGTGGCAATTTCTTTCGAGTTATCGTCATGACAACACCGTCTTCCTACCCGAGATTAACTCGAGTTTATTAAGATTTTGGTCATCTTGTTGTTGGCCTTTGGCACTGTTTTTAGTAAAATTTTGAATTTTTAAAAAATTTTTTATTGGTTTTTAGTCGTAAGTTCAAAAATGACAAGAACTTTCTTTACAAAATCAATTTTTATGCTAAAATTTTTTATTTATTTACTTTACTTTACATATTCAAGTGTCTACAAAAAGCTATCCAAGTAGCTCATCCATATTGAGACAACCTGGTACAACTCGGGAGATCAGGGACGTCGCTACGGATTTTCTCTGGTATTTCACTGCTTCTCGCGTCACTGAGTCGCGGTTGAGGTGCCGCATAAGAATTCTGGCGTTCAATCATATACTCGTGTCGGCCAAGTATAGATGTGCCTAGTCCCCGTGCACTCACCATTACCCATTCCTCAAGGCGCCAAGGTTGAGCGATGTGCGGGGTCAAACCAAGGTCCTTCTGAATAGCAAGCGGAGCCACAGCCACTGCGCTACCTACGCAATAAAAAAAATTTTTAATTTTTTTGTTAATGAGTATATTATAGTACTAAACCATACAGATATGTGGTAAGAAGTAAAGTATGTATTAGAAAAAAAATACTTCACTAAAGAAACTTATTGAATACAATAGCCAACTAGAACATGAGAATGGGTGTGGGAAACGTTTAGAAGTTTCCGCAAAGCTAATAACAATAATGAAATGAATAACAATATATTATAGTAGTCGGAAGCGGTTTTTAATTCCAAAGGTTTTTAGTTAAACTTTGTTTCAAAACTTGTTCAGATAAAGCAAGGTGAGGCTGGGGCTTAGGTTTGTGTAGTAGGAGGTTCAAGCAAGCGCAAGCTAAGGATGAAGTTAGAGACAACGCTAGGGAGAAGGTCATGGATGGCTTAGGCTAAGGCTAAAGCTCAGGCTGAAGCACAGGCCCAGACTTTGAATCTGGCTCAAACTCTGGTTCTGGCTCTGGCTATGGCTTAGGCTCAGGCTCAGGTTCAGGTTCAGGCTCAGACTTAGGCTTTGACTCTGGCTTCGGCTCAGGCTCAAGCTCAGGCTCAGGCTCAGGCTTTGACTCTGGCTTCGCCTCAGGCTCAAGCTCAGGCTCAGGCTCAGGCTGAAGCTCTGGCTCGGGCTCTGGCTTCGACTCAGGCTCAGGCTCAGACTTAGGCTTTGACACTGGCTTCGGCTCAGGCTCAGACTCAGGCTCAGGTTTCGGCTCAGGCTTAGGCTTAAACTAAGGCCAAAGCCAAGGTTTTTGTTTCTATTTTTTGCGTCAGTATACTGTAGTTTTCATGTTCAATGTTTACCATAAGCGCTTGTTATTGCCATTATCAATATAGAGAACTGTTTATTATAGTTAAAAAGCAATTCAGTACCACCCATTCTGTTCGCATATCGCTTTTGTATTACCATTATTTGTAATCAAAACACACTTCAAGTTAAAAAAGAACGCCCAAACTGTACCGTACTAAATCGTGCCACTTTGAATTGCACAAATCTTTAAAAATAGCTGTTTTTAAATACTAAGTTATATACAAATTGTAGCTTAAAATTTTAAACTCATAGGTTTTAGAGCTTCACAAACAAGGTTTAAACTCATCATACTGTAACAACTACAAAAAAAGGCGCTTGCCTACTGTGCCTTACTACAATATGATGTCTTTGCGTACAGTAACCATTAAAAACGGTCTTTATATTGTATTTAAATTGAAAATATAATAACTAAAATTGTATTTTTGAAAACGAAAACGCTCACAAGATATTCAAAATTTATTAAAAACAAAAAAAATTGCATTTAACTTGGTCGCAATTACTGTAACATACAAAAAAGAAAGTTAGGCGGAGTTTTTACATGGTTATGGTGAGTCTAGTGGCTCGTGTAAAAAGTATTTAAACAGGCTAAAAAACTTGCTAAAAACGATTTTTGTAAAGAAATCTTGCCATTTTTTGTTTTGTAAAGAAAGTTCTTGCCATTTTTTGTTTTGTAAAGAAAGTTCTTGTCATTTTTTGATTTCTAAAGAAAGTTCTCGCCATTTTTTGTTTTGTAAAGGAAGTTTTTTCTAAAATTTGTTTTATGACTTCAAAGAAGAGCTAAAAATAAAACAAATATGTAAAGTGCAAATCCCTAAAGGCATATACGTTGGATCTTTTTTGAGTAATTTTTAAAGCTTTTTAATTTTTTTCAGTTTTTGATGAATGGAATCTCAGAAATGTTGCGGTTTTTAACCAAAACGTAATTTGTTTACTATTTTGTCAATTTTTTGTTTTGCAAACAAAGTTCTTGCCATTTTTCATTTTTTTTTCAAAAATTTTTTTAAGAATTAAAATTTTAAACACTTGAGGGGGGGGAGAAGGGAAGTTTTTTAAAAAAGTTTTGTGATCATACATAGATTCATCATGATTGGTCGAAAAAATGATTTTTTTCGTATTTTAACTTTTAGGACTAGGGCTCTGGGCTAGGGCTCTGGGCTAGGGCTCTCGGCTAGGGCTCTCGGCTAGGGCTCTAGGCTAGGGCTCTAGGCTAGAGTTCTGGGTTAGGGTTCTGGGTTAGGGCTCTGGGCTAGGGTTCTGGGCTAGGGCTCTGGGCTAAGGCTTTGCGCTAGGGCTCTGGGCTAGGGCTCTGGGCTAGGGCTAGGGCTTGTGCCAGGGCTGCTTATTTGCTAGACCTGGTTATAATTTTCCCGCAGGAACCGATGTGCACGTTTTAAAAGTGCACATACTGTTGAGTACGACTTAAGTGCATCAACACATTAAGCCCTTTATTTGAATATTTTCTTTTGTTTTTTCTTGCTAAGGAAATGAAGTGGTCATTAAGTGCAGTTGGCAAGGAAATTGGAATGACGTTAAGGCCGGAATTGCGTCGAGTAAACTGTAGGGATGATATATCACGCTAGTTTACTCTTCTGCTGGTTCACTAAGTTCTTCCATCATGGGTCTTTTTGGAATTGACGTCTGGGTTTGTGGTAAAGTTTTAAGTGAAACTTTAAGATTTTTAAATTAAATTTTGGGGTTCTAAATGAGGTTTTTGATTTTAAACAGTTTTAAGCCTATGAAACAATTTTGACTTTCAATATGAATTTTAGGTTTTAAAAATGAATTTTAAGCTTGAAAAGTAATTTTTAGGCTTAAAAGTGAACTTTAGGCTTAACAATGAACACTTAAAAACAAATTTTTTGGCTTAAAAATGAACTTTTGGACACAAAAATGAAATTTTAGGCTTAAAAATGAACTTTTAGATACAAAAATGAAATTTTAGGCTTAAAAAGAAAGTTAAGGCTTAAAACCAAAATTTGAGCTTAAAACTTAATTTAGATTTGACAAAAATTAAAAATGAATTTTAGGCTTACCAAGTAATGTTAGGCTTAAAGATGAAATTGAAATAAAGTTACGATAACTTTTTTTTGCAGGATTACTAAATCTTTAGTGCAAAAACTTTTGGACCCATTTGACGTCATTCCGGGTCGAGTCGGCCCATCTGGCTTTAGTTTTATGCCTTTCTCTTCAAGTTATTTGTCATAAGGGCTTGATTTGAAAATTAATTTTTATTTCCTCCGGCAATTTATTTGTTTTTTGTTTGTTTGAGAGGGCGGAAACTTTCTTTACAAAAAAATTGTTTAATTTTAGATTTTTTTGTTTTTTATGTGAATTTTAGGCTTATAATGAAGGTTAAGCTTAAAAATGAAGGTTAAGCTTTAAAATAAAAGTTAGGCTAAGAAATGAATTTTTAAACTTAAAAAAAAAGATTTTAGGCTTAAAAATCAATTTTAGGCATAAATAATAAAATATAGGTTTAAAAATCAATTTTAAGCTTTATCGTTAAATTTAGGCTTAAACGTGTTGTGTTAAGCTTAAAAACAGCTATTTTGGGTAATTATTCGCGCAAAAAACAATTTTTTTATCATAATATACATCGTCATGCAAATTTCAAAAACTTTTTTTTGTAAACAAATTTACCACAAAATGAATGGTAAATAGTGTTGTGTACAACCTATTACATTACCTCCACTTTCCCAACCCATGACGCATGTTTTTCGCTTCAATTTCTACTCCAAACACCTATATTTACATTTCTACATTTGTTGAAGGCGAACGTCACGTTTTGCATCATTCAATAGTGTTGTTGTGATACTTCAAATTAACATAACATATTACACTCGACGTGTCATAGTATAAAATTGGGTTGTTTTGGAGCAAAATAGATTTTTTTTGTATTTAAATTGTGTTATTTGCCATTTTTTGTTTTGTAAAGAAAGTTGTTGTCATATTTTGTTTCGTAAAGAAAGTTCTTGCCATTTCTTATTTTGTAAAGAAAGTTCTTGCCATTTTTTATCCTGTAAAGAAAGTTCTTGCCATTTTTAATCCTGTAGCGAAAGTTCTTGCCTGTTCCTATTCATGAAGTATGTAAAACACTACTGAATGTGTGAGTCTTCTTTCTTTTATTTCGAATTGAATTGGCCTTTCGGGCCCGGACCAATATTATGGTCAAGTCTTAAAAAAATTGCCGAAAAGGAGAGATAATACAGGTTTTAGAGACGTTAGAGACGGCGTATGCAAAAATTGTGGCAAAATTTGAAAAGGGATTGAAGAAATATGGCAGGATGACAAAGCAACTAGAATATATAAGGTTAAAATAAGAGAGTAGGCAAAGTAGAATTCAAAAATATAAGAGAGTGAGAAGAGGTAAAGAGAAGTGAGAGAGATCGAAAGAAAAAAGGAGTGGATAAACTGTTTGGCACCCGGTTTTTTAATTTTGGAAAAGGCCCCGGAGGCGCTTTGCACTCTTTTCAGCCGCAATTCTGCTGCAATTTTTTTCTCTACCCGTCTCTCAGTTTCCCTTTTAAATCTTTAATGTTTTCTTTGTAGTTCGCTCTACGCGGCCAAAGTTCACTCAAATTTTTCGTTCTATTTTTTAATTGTTTTACTGTTTCGTTCCTAAATGTCATCGTGTCTTTTAATACTTTCTTTGTATGTCTGACCCTCACCTCACTCTATGTAATGCCTGGTGACATTTTCGGTCGAAACCAGTATCTAACCGCGGCCTTCTTAAACCCGACCTTCTCCCGGGAATTTTTCTTTTGCTGCAGATCCACTAGTCTCAACTTAAAGGGCATGGAAAGAGCGGGCAGGATGAGGAGAACGTGACACAGAGATGAGAAAGCAGGGGAGTAAGGACAAGAAGTATATTGAGATAAGCAAGGAAGAGTAAAAGATTGGCAAGATTAACGAACGGCACAAAATACTATCTGAAAGGATCAAGCCAAGGAATACTGCATCCGATTGTTATATTAGTTCAAGCTGAAGAACACTGCATCCGATTGTTATATTAGTTCATTCAATCCAATTGGTAAAGCACTGTCAAGTGACCAGAAAGTAATGTCCCAAAAGGCTAACCCAGTAGAAAGAACAATACCCTACCTTCTTATTGGAAACTTTCATTTTTATAAGTAGCCAGACAATTTATCCTATATGTTGTTACACATTACCTTTCAACGAGAACTTTTACATTTTTGGTGCAGATCGTCCAAAAAATTTCTATTCTTTCTAGACTGCTAAAGAAAAACTGGCCAAAAAATAACAGTTTGGCCAGACAATTCCAGAAAAACAAGGATTTGGGGCCAGACGATCAAAGAAATTTAAAAAGAGTGTGCAAAAACAAATTCGCTTTTTTTTTGCTGTCCTTCATAACAAAAAAAGTGGAGATGCATTCCCAAGGCCCCGGAGGCCATGCTCTCTTACTCCCCTTTTTTCCCTATTCCTGAAGCCGGGGTTTTGCGGCAGAATGCCGTAGACTTGCGCGCACCAAACGAAAAAAGCGGCCGAAAGTAAGAAATTGAAAAGGTTACTTTGGCCGCCAAAAAGACCCAGTTTTCGAGATGATACGGCCGCGTTTTTGCGAATTTTCCGCAAAATATTTGGAATTTGAGGGGTGTTTTTCGGTTAGTAAGATTATGATTGTAAGTTTGTTAGGTTGTTTGTGGAGGTTTTGAACAATTAAAGTGTATTAACTTTTTTTATGTTAAACCTTTTTTTTCTTATAGAACATGTAGTTGCCACTTTGATAGATTTAACGTAAATTATCACCAATTTTTTACAAATAGTATCCTATAAATACGAGTTCACAATTTTCTTATTGTATTAAAAATGGACCTCCAATAGGAACAGGAAAGGCTGATAAGAGTAAAAAGTGTTATTATCATGAATTATTTTCTGCGAAAAATGCTTGGAATTTGTTTACTAATTAATAAAAATCATCTTTTATTTTGACTGCAACTTAAAACTTTGTAAACCAGAAAATAGCAAATACTTTCTTTACAAAACAATATATAACAAAAGCTTTCTTTCCACTATATATATCAGTAAAACATCTATAGAGACAACCCTGGTACAAAGAGACGACCATAGAAGTATCTTTT